GAGGTTAACATACCTTTGAAATAAACCAGAATCACCCTTCAGAAAGCACAGCATCTTGTTAACCATTCTTTAATCCAATCCCTGCCTTGCTTTCTCACACCTTCATATAATCTTCCTTAGTTCCCTTCTTAATTCAAATGCATAAAAGCTGCAGAACTAATTCTCTGGACTCTGGAGCATTTGAGATCTTGCTCCCCAGACTGTGTTAATTTGGCTCAATAAACTCATAACAATTCTCTACAGGTTTGAATGTTTCTTATGTCGACAAAAGCAAGGAGGAGGGGGAAGGAGAGAGAGAAAGACAAGGAAGAGGAGAAAAAGAGGATGAGAAAGAAGTAAAGGAAAAAAATGAAACTCTAGAGCTAAGTACAAAAAAAAATGGAGCGGAATATGTTAGTGCGTCAGCTTATACTTATGATTGTTTCCCTTTAAATTTTCATTCTCACATTTTAAGATTTTTTAAAGTACTTTAGTGAATATATATCCACTGTTAAGCAGTATTACAAATTGCAATGTGGCATTTTACATGTACAGTTGTCTCTAGGTATCATTGGTTCCAGAACCCCCTGCAGATATCAAAATCTGCTGATGCTCAAGTCCCTTGTGGGAAATGTTCTATTTGCATGTAGGCTACAGCAGGGTATGCCTACAAATTACTTCATCATAGGGCTCAGTGTGTGGCAATTTCAAGTTTTGCTTTTTAAATGTCTCTGGGATTTATTTTTTTAAATATTTTTTTATCATTGGTTTGTTGAACCCATGAATGCAAAACCTGCAGATAGAGACAGCCTACTGCACAAAGTATTTGCTTTTCAGAATATTTTACAACATAATATGTACTTAAAAAAAAACAAAACAAAACAGGTAACAGATGGCCATCCATGTAATCAAACAACTTCAAAACTGAAAGGGACAGTAAAAATAATCAATTTCAATTTTTTCATCTTCAGCAAAGAAAGTGAGGTCAACAGAAATTCCACATTCTGTCCAGATTCACACAGAGTCACTGATGAGGCTTTCACTATTGCCAACTTTAAAGCCCAACTTTTTTTTCACTTCATTTTCCCATTCATTCCACATTTAATGCTCGCCTACTATGGGCTAAGCATTGTGATAGGCACTAAATGGGAAATGCCACATGAAAAAGGGACAGTCCCTGCTATCTAAGAGCTAACAGACTTCGGGGAATGGAACACTGCTCTGAGCCATATAAAATTATAGAACTCCAGATTAAAAGAGTTTAATAGGAATGTGGCTTGGTCTACTCTAGGAGATCAGGCACAACCATCTGCTAACTTGATCTTTCTGGTAACTAGGGGACAGACTAACTGTATTTTCTATTATATCCACTTGGACTGCCTTTCTACTGCCCACGGATTCCCCTTCTCTTTTTATTTTTTATTTTTTTTTTAATTTTTAAAATATATTTTATTGATTTTTTTACAGAGAGGAAGGGAGAGGGATAGAGAGCTAGAAACATCGATGAGAGAGAAACACTGATCAGCTGCCTCTTGCACACCCCCTACTGGGAATGTGCCCGCAACTAAGGTACATGCCCTTGACTGGAATCAAATCTGGGACCTTTCAGTTCACAGGCCGACGCTCTATCCACTGAGCCAAACCGGCCAGAAATTCTTTATACAACTATAGGCACCTAATTCCCCTTCTCCCACCACCCCCAACCCCCCCTATTTTTAATCTTTATTGCTCAGATTAGAATTGTTTCTCCTCTTTCCCCCCATAGCTCTCCTCCACCCAGTTCCTACCTCACCCTCTACCCCCATTGTCCTCATCCATAGGTGTACGATTTCAGTCCAGTCTCTTCCTGAACCTCCCACACCCCTTTCCCCCTGATAATTATCAATCCACTCCCTTTCTTTGCCCCTGATTCAATTATATTCACCAGTTTATTCTGTTCCTCAGATTTTTAATTCACTTGATTTTTAGATTCTCTTGTTGATATATATGTACTTGTTGATCATAATTTTTGTCTTTCCCTTTTTCTTCTTCTTCCTCTTCTTAAAGAATACCTTTCAGCATTTCATATAATACTGGTTTGGTGGTGATGAACTCCTTTAGCTTTTTCTTATCTGTGAAGCTCTTTATCTGACCTTCAGTTCTGAATGATAACTTAGCTGAGTAGAGAAATCTTGGTTGTAGGTTCTTGCTATTCATCACTTTGAATATTTCTTGCCACTCCTGACTGGCCTGAATAGTTTCTGTTGAGAAACCAGCTGATAGTCATAAGGGTGCTCCATTGTAGGTAACTGTTTTTCTCTTGCTGCTTGTAAGATTCTATCTCTTGCCCTTGGCATTTTAATTATGATATGTCTTAGTGTGGTCCACTTGGGATTTTTGTTTGGGGTTCTGTGTACTTCATGTACTTGTAAGTCTATATCTTTCACCAAGTGGGGAAAGTTTTCTGACATTATTTCTTCAAATAGGTTTTCAGTGTCTTGCTCTTTCTCTTCTTCTGACAACCCCATAATTCTGATGTTGGTACACTTGAAGTTTTCCCAGAGGCTTAAATTTTCTGGATTCTCTTCTCTTCTTGCTTCTCTGGCAGAGTGTCCTTTGCCTCTTTGTATTCCAAATCTTTGACTTAATTTTTGCATTCCTCTAGTCTGCTGTTGGGTCTCTGTATATTTTTTTTATTTCCAAAAGTGCATGTTTAATTTCTAGTTGGTTCTTTTTCATATCCTCAAGAGTCTCGTTAAATTTATCAGCCTTTTCTAGGAAATTCTTGAAAAACCTTATAACTGTGGTTTTTGAATTCTACATCCAGTCTTTTGTTCTCCATTTTTTTTTTTTAGATTTCTTTCCTTGTCTGGCATTTTTGCTGCTTCCCTGAGTTTGTAGGGTAGCTTTGTGTGCTTGGTGTCCTGTGTGGTCAGGTGGGTCAGCCCCCCGTTACCTCAGGTAGACACTCTTGGTGCTCCCCTTTGTGTTCTGCTTGTACAGCTTTATTATAGTTAAGTCTTGATTGTTGTTGGTGTCACTGGGAGGAATTGACCTCCAGACCTTTTGGATGTATCAGCTGTGTCTACACCAGGATACCTTCTGTATTGGATCAGACTTGCAAAATTGAAAAAGCCTTTGAGCTCAGCTTGGATGGGGCAGAGTCTTAGGGCTGAACCACCCACCAGTCTTGGCTACCAGTCAGTCCTGCCCTTGTGCACGAGCCTCAGACCTCTGCCTTCCATGGATCCCAAGCTTCCCCGACAGTCCAGATTCCCCTTGCAAGAGTGTGGGTGCCCCAGGGGCTCACCACACTCTTACAGTGCTCAGTGCAGTTAGGAGCTTCAGATTCCTTCTGCTATGGAGAGGCTGCAGCGCTAAGACCTCTGTGTGTGCACTCACTCGCTAGCTGTGGCTCTGGCTCCCCTGGTCTCCCATTCTGGTCAGATCTCTCTGAGCACACTGGCTTGCTTGCTGCAGCTCCGGCTCCTCTAGTCTCCCAGTCTGGTCAGACCTCTGCACGCACTCACGGTCGCGCTGTGGCTCCTGGCTCCCCCATATCTCCATCTTTGAGTCTCTGGGTGCCTTGTTTACAGTCCAGACTCCACCCGTATGAGCTTAGGTCCACAGGGTTTCGGCTGGGGATGGGGTTAAGTGCATTTGAAACTAGGGTTCAATGCAGTCAGGGGCTTCTTTCCCCTTCCGCCAGCCTGGCACTCGGCCGCCTTTCCTCTCTGCGCATCACCCTACCTCAGCGCTTTGCAGCTCCTGATCTGATCTGTGAGCCTCTCTCCTTCTCTCCAGTTGTAGATTTCCTAATCAGCCAGCTTTCCTGTGGTTTTGGATGATGTCTGCTCTGTCTTTCAGTTGTTTTGAAATTGTGCAAGACAGCAGTTTAGGCGCTTACCTAGGCCACCATCCTGGTTCTCCTCCTTCTCTGTTAAATGTGAGCTAGGAAACAGAATCCATTTTAGTGAAAGACTGAGAAAGGCAAGATGGGTAGGAGAGCAGTAACTTCCTGGTTTCTTCTCAGTGTTCATAGGTCTCCGGTCTCATCCTATTTCAGAATCCAGCTGTATCCTGACCTTGGGTTCCCTGAGCACTTGTGGGAGTACAGATCCTTCTCTGCTAGGGGCTGTACCCCTGTGGACGCCAGGTAGTGGATGAAGACAATATAAGCACTCATAGGCATAGAAGAGAGATTTTATTGCAAACCAAGTAGCACTATCAAGGAGCTACCAGACAAAGCAGTTCTTCAAGTTAGCGTCACAAAGTAACCACAAACATAAGTGCCAGCCACCTGCTGGTCAGTAACACTCTCTTAAACTAGCTCAGACAGACAAAAGAGGCTTCTTGCCAAATAGTATCTGGGTTATAGAAAAGTACCCCTGCCCAGTATATTCAGGAAGATTACTGAGTCCTTACTGTACACCTGCGTATGGCAAATTGGCCCTGAGCACCTGGCATACCCTGGACAGGGCCCCACAGCACTTAGGATAAAATTCCTCTCTCTGTTAGATGGGATTGGTTTCTATCACTTACAACAAAGAAGTCTGTTAAAACAGATTTTATCTTTAAAAGAAAACACTGGTTTCACGTTATGTTGGAAAAGTAATTATTTATTATGAAAAAAATAAAACTGTTTACTGAAAACAAATGAATGTTACACAGTATTGCACCATGATTGCAAATGAGGAAAAAAGATGAACATTCCAGGGCAAACAGCATCCTTTTACTTGAGTATGTAGACATGCAAGCAACTCATTATAATGTAATTGCGGAAATAAAAAATCATAAGTAGCAGCAACCTAAACTTAACACATCAAAGAAGCCTCTTATTACAGTCATGAAGCTATCAAAAATTTAAAACATGTCTTTTAAATAACCCACATTAGAAGCACATGCTTTGAACCATTTTCAAGTGATAATGTAAATGCTGTTTGCTTTTTAAAAATTTTAAATTAATGCTTATCTAACGGATCAATAGCACACATTTCAGCTGGTTGGTAAGCAGTCTGTGGTGCGAAAGACATTTTCCCCCCTCTGTACAATCAGGGGAACCACAGAGAGTGCCAATTCATAATTTTGGCCTTATTAACACCATCTTCTATTTGACTAAGCATAATAGCTAAGATATTGTTACAGCTTTTGCAGAAAGCCTGAAGCTTGAAGAATAACAATGGCTTGTACTTAAACCTTAAAAAATGAACATAAATATAAATAGACACTTTAAAGTAGTTTTACATTCTGAAGCAGAAAGTATATTATACAGGGCCTGCTGTTTCTTCCTTAATGCTCTAAAGCACCAATTTATGTTAAGATGGCAACATGTGATATATTAATTACATTCTGATGAGAATAAATGCAAGAGCAAGACTGTTGCTTTTAATATTTTACTTTTTAAACCATGATCTGTGCAATAGATGAAAAGGGTAAAATTTGTAACTATTACATAATTGGAAAAAATATAACCATAATTTTATTTCACAATCCTAATTAAATAGCAGCTAAATTTTTTTTTAAATGAAAATTAAAAGTTGACACTGAACAGTTTACTCCAAGAGAACAAGGTAGGGGTAGAGTCCCTGAATGTCCCCAGGGAAAATGTAAGATTAAAATGATTAAAGTATCTTATGAATAGGGACAATATATGTAAATAAATTATAATCAAGATCAACTGATAGTCATTTGGTAGCTTACCAACAGCAGTGGAAATTTATTCACAGTATAATATAATCAATCAGATTTTAGAGTTTTTCTTTTCCCTATTTGATATTAAACTAATTATATATTGATTGAGAACTTGCTCATTTCCTTTAATGAAGATAATATTCTCATCTGCTATGCCAGGGTAGCCCTGCTGGTGGTAAACAAGAACAAAATAAAACAAAATCTCTAAAGAATACTATCCCTTTGTTGTGAACTTTGCATATTTCAAAGAGAATTTGGGTGACGGGGTATTTTTGGGATGCTGTAACATCCCACAAACTTGAGCTAAAGCACCTTGTTATGGATTGGAAAATGAGGTAATTTTTAAATTAAAATTTTTAAGTTTGTGCAAGAGAACATTTACAGTCTTCTAGAACTATTTTCTATTTCAAAAGATACACACGACATATTTTATTTCTCCATTTCTGAGAGAAAATGTAGATTACTGATTTTAAAAATGCAAAAGATGCCTCTATGTGACTACACTCCCAAATTCTAAAAACCTGACCAGTCTTCAATCCTTAGGCCACATTAAAAATAGCATAGGTCCAACCAGTTCTACAGTAAAATAATGTACTTTTTAGACTAGTTTTAAGTACTAAATGGCAGGAAATTCAGTTTTCAAATTTTCTATTATTTCATATCCTTTTGAAGATTTTTCTACCTATGTTTAACAAGTGTTTTGACTTTTGTTCCTAGATATACCTTTATAACTCTAAATTTAACATTTTCCAACTATATACATTTAAAGCTGGATTTAGGTATGCTGACCACAATAATTTTTCTATCTTATCGTAAATATAAAGTAGCTGAAAAAATCTTTTTTTTTTTTTTTTAATTGGCCTTCTCTATTTAGTTTTGGCCACTTGGTACTCTTAAAAAAATACTTCTTGGAACCTGATTTTTGGATTTCAGTCTTCACAGTAATGCTATATAAATTTAATGTTTGTAAAATATTGACATCTGGCTGCACAATCCTAGAAATCTTTACAATGCTAGAAAGCCAAACGTAACTGCAGTTTGAGATGGTACCAATAAATTTTGAATAAACTAACCCCTTCTAATTAGTAAAAGTCAAGAACGTAAGCAAGGCATTTTCTAGAAGAGATTTCCAGCAGATTATGGTGTTTTTTCAAGCAGCTTACTAGCATGCTCTTAGCAATATGGCTTATTTTCTCTTTTGCATTGTTATTAGCTATTAGCTCAATTTAAGTTGATTAGCAGTTAGTATTTGAAATTTGTTTTCTTATTTGATTGTATTCATATACTAAATTAAATTAGAAGGTGGGAATCAGTAGATTAAAATGAATTTAATTTCATAGTACATGTTTGGTTTTTTTGGTTTTTCAATTTTAATGTAGCATATGAAGGTTCAATATTTTAAAATCAAAAGACATGCTGGAGTTCTAGCCTAAGTTCCTGGTATGTGGAAAACAGTAGGAAGGGCACAAACAGTAATTGCCCAAGGTCAACTAGAAAAGTAATGGCCAAACTAAGATTCAAAACCACCCCTTTAGATAGCTGGCAAAATATTCTACCAGATACAAATTATCATGCTGTATCCTTTTGTTTTTCTTTTCTTTTTCATTTTCTTACCATACTATATCTTGAAATGACTTTACCCAGACAAAATATAAAGGATCTTTTAGAATTGAAATGGATGTGAAATGTTTTGGATCTAAAGCCACAGATGAAAAGTCAAGACTCATGAAGTTGCTCTTCAAATATAAATGTCAATGGAATTCACCCATCTCTATAAGCATAATAACAGTTCATTTTTTTCCTACCATACCAAATTTTTTTTTCGATTTTGCTTTGTGACTCCCTGTAACTCTTCAGAAAATATTGTATGCACTGCTGCCTAGATTACTCACTGTTTCCATAGGAAAAAATAGTTTTTTTTCTTTGTTATAGATAATGAAAGTTAACAGATGACTATAGGGGTCGTGCATGTGTAAAAATTATTTTTAACACTAAAGTTGTCTTTCTTCCAATGAACATAGAATAAAATTAGACCTTTTAGCATACTAACACAGAACCTAAAAGCAAAAGTTATATATTTAATGAGCTTTTCAACAGATTATATATATTATTTCAGATTATAAAAAGTTAAATTACACTAACAATACAAAATGTACAGTATAACCCCATATAAAGGGCCTGTTAATTCAAAAGGAGTTCTGAAATAGGTTTCAGAAAGAGAGATGGGGCTAAATATGAAGACAACATGCTCAAAAGTAAGAAAAGTACCATATTTGAATTTGTTAGGGTAGCAATTACATTTTAGTTATAGCATATCAAAAGATAACATTTAGTTTCTTTACACTCAAATGAAAAACAAAATGTATAACCACCTGCCTAAACTAATGTTGGTAGGACCCTTTGCTTCCCACTACACCTACTAGAAACTTTGCTAGGCAATTGAGGGGTTGATGGGTAGGATAAAAACTCAGATAATGTGACTGTTAATTAGCTGCTAACTTGAATTCCAAAGAACAGATATAGTACAAAATTGAGAACTCATCTTAAAATATGAATATAGGCACTAATCACAAATTTACATTTTTCATCAGACAATATCCTAGAGTTTGTTGATTTACAATGAATGTCAGAATCAATGCTTTAGCATTATATACATGCTTGGGATAAAACATTCTCTTGGAGTAAAAGGTAATCAGTTTTCATATTACTGTAACAGGAAATATCTATTTAGAACCTATAATATATTTTTAAATAGTCTTACATTAATTTCTTAATTTAAATTCCCAATCGACACAAAATCTAGTTGAATGCCATTTCATTGTCAACACACAGGTAACATAAATTACTTCTAATCCAAACCAAATGTTTTTTTAAAAAAGGATTTAGAAAATAAAATAAATTGTATTTTAAAAATTACACAGCAAACTTGAATCTATAGTAGTAGTTGTTCACTTTCAATATAATGCTGACTTGGTAACATAAAAACAAACAAACAAACATATAATTTGATAAGTGAAAACTGAGCCAGCCAATCTTATTAGATACAAGACTAATTTCAAAGTATAAACAAGGAGTATTAATGTTTTTTTCTCAGGACAGAGTTAGGAGAACTATACTAAGTATTTGTAGCTAAACTGTATAACCAAGAGAAAAATTTGGATAAGTGTGCTTTGGGTAAACAGTATTTTCATAATCCCTCTTAGTTTCACTGCCACATACACACCACAAAGCATCCATATTGATTTTGTCTACTTTTCTACTTTTCTCTCAGGTTGCTGATTATGGATTATATTAAAAAGAAAATTTATCCCCCTACCTGCTATGAAATCACTAAGAAAAAGTTTCAAAACAATGTTAATAACAACTAGTTCCCAAAGTCTAAAAACCTTTCAGCTAGCCATTTTTTAGTTCTAGGGTGTGCTGCCACTAAATAGAATTCAGAAAATTATTGCCACATTCAACTACATATTAATTAGACTAAATAGAATAAATCAAATATACCTGAAAACAGCAAAATTTAAACCAATTTACAATAAAAAATAGAATTAAAATACCATTTTTGAACAGGTATTTTGATATTAAGAATACTGAATCCTGTATTTGACCCAAATGAAAAAAATACTGCAAACATGAAGTATTATTATTCTCTAAATACGTATTTATCTCTTTCATTATAGCAAAATCATACATTTAAGATAAAGAGGATTAAAATTATGATCCTGTCTTCCTTAAGGTATGTATTATTTATTGTTCATATTAGACAACTGCCTTGAAAACTTTTAAATATTATCAAATAAACTTTCAATAGATTATGACTTTTTTCCTATTTTTAAAATCTATATGTTGTTAGTGTATTAACTTTGAGTCTCATAGTACTATTCTAAAAACTAGGATTAAATTTAGCGGTTCCCTATACTCCAGCAAAAGATTTGAGCATGAGGCATAACAATAAAGATGCAAATTGTTTCAAGCTTATTACACCACAGCCTCAAATACCTTTAAGAAAAGCCATATGGTTTTTGTAAGTAATGTACTGCTGGTGGTATTAAGAGTATTTTAGACATAATTTCAAATTTTAAGAAATATTGATAAAATGAACTCTTTATACTCTGCTTTAGCTTTGCCCAAAGCAGATTGGATGTTCCTTGCAAATGGAATAGTTGAACCTTAGGCTGATAATAAAGTTGTAGGTAATTGGTAATAAAATATATTCCAAATGGCTGGTTTTATTGTAATATTAATGCTGGTGTGCTTTAATAACTACTACTGTTTATATATGCATTGAATAATGTGGCATTCTTAAAATTCCAGGTTTATCCAAAGTAGGGCATTTAAATAAATATTTTACCTTGATTAGTTTTAACCAAAACAAATGCTGTGTTATAGGCAGAAATGTGGACTTAATTCTTTTAGATAATAGCCTACTTAATTTCCATACTAACAGTAACTTAAAATTATTCCATGACTTGCAATAATTTTAACTCATGTAAAGGCAGTTTTCATGATGTTTAATCTTCCTCACATATATCTTCTAGGCAGACTTCTTTCTCCATAATTAGTTCTGTCCAAAAGGTAAGTGGTTTATAGAGGGAGCAAATACTTAGCGCTGGTTAAGTTTGCAAGCAATACCCGATGATTTCCTCTAATACTTTGTCAAACCAGTCATTATCTGGGGGGGCAGGGGTGGTCAAGAGAACTTGGTCATTAAAGTCATTACAATACTTCAGGAAACATTAGACATATGACAAACATTTCTTACAAGGCAGTCATTGAATAATTAAGAGTAAGCAGTCAGAAAATTCTGTTGCTGAAAACACAGTTATACATTAGTGTTCATCCAACTGAAGATTAGTGGATTAAAAAAAAGTTAAGAAAAAATCTTCCACTTTCCAGTTCAGCTGCACTTGATTCAAGTGTTGCTCATAGAGGTTTGTGTTGTTATAAATTAAACTTGCTGCTGCCTTAGCAGCTAAAGATACTAGGAAAAAATGTTCATGTCACAGAATAAATAGAGCAGTCTCTTTCAAGCAAAACAGTTATCTCACACCAATTCTGGAGGTCATCCACTCTAGACCTTGGCATAACCTGAAACAAAAGAAAAAATATTTTCAAAATGAAATGAAGAAGTTTTTACTTAAAAACTGAAAGCATTCTTGGTACTACAATAATTATTTACACACTTAAGTGAAATATTGAAAGATTCACTAAAATGACCTTATCAGTTGAGTAATGTGGAAACAGCTTCAGTCTTATCTAAAGGCTACAGCTTTGGCAGTTTTTCAGCAAAATTGCAAGTACTCCTCATCCCCTGCCCTTTAAGGTGAACTAAAACTGCAATCACTATAGAAAGATAATATTACCCTCCTAAATTCTAAAGAATTGAGGCTTATAGCTCAATCTTAAAGGTATAGGTCAAAAGTCTACATGTAGCATTATATTACAAGGTTTTTCCAGTATGAAAAAACTAAGGTCAAATTACTGGTAATTGAGCATAAATACGGGTCTAGTAATAATTAATGTCGTTTTTAACATTCGTTTAAAATCTTGCTTGGCGTTGACTTGTATTGACATAACCTTCAAACACGTGGTATCTACAGAACGTGTGAAGTGCAATTAACAAGTTTTGCTTGAAAAAGTTTGTGTTTGGTTTGGTTTTTGTTGCAAAACTAGGGCTAAGAAGATGGCGGATGAAGAGCATATTCGGCACTGCATGCTTTACGAGTTCCAATTAGGAAGAAAAGCAAATGAGGCTGCAAAAAACATCTGTAGTGCTCTTGGTCAAGATGCAGTTAGCGCCAGAAAATGCCAGCGTTGGTTTGAGAAATTTCGCGAGGGAAATTTTTCGTTAGATGACAAGAGTGGTCGAGGCCGTGTGTCCAATTTTGATCAAGAAGCTCTTCAAGCTCTTTTGGTGCAAAATCCTCAAATTACCCAACAAGAGCTTGCGACAACTTTAAATTGTTCACAAAAAACAATTTCCAATCAATTGCATGCACTTGGCAAAGTCCAAAAGTTTGGAAAATGGGTTCCTCATGAGTTGACCGACAACAACCGTAATCAAAGAGTCACAATTTGCAGTTCGCTCCTCTCTCGTCAAAACCGTTTGCCGTTTTTAGAGCAAATTGTTACCAGAGATGAAGATTGAGTGCTGTATGTTAATTTGAAAAGGCAGCCTCAATGGTTGGACAAAAATGAGGCTCCGCAGCCCACGCCAAAACCTGACTTGCATGCGAAAAAAGTGATGTTGTGTGTTTGGTGGAATTTTAAAGGAATTCTTCATTATGAACTTTTACCATCTAACCAAACCATTACAAGTGCAGTGTATAGTGCCCAATTGGAAAGGTTAGCCCAAGCTTTAAGAGAAAAAGAGCCCGCGCTGATTAATCGGAAGGGCGTAATTCTTCACCACGATAACGCAGGACCGCATACTGCAAGAATCACTGCTGAAAAACTGCGCCAGTTGGAATGGGAAGTTCTCCCTCAACCTGCATATTCTCCTGATATTGCCCCTTCCGATTACCATTTGTTTCGTTCTTTGCAAAACTTTCTTCTTGGAAAAAAATTTAATAATGAAGAATGCCTCAAAAATGCATTGACCGAATTTTTTGCATCAAAATCACAAGAATTTTACAACAGAGGGATTAAAATGCTTCCGGAGCGTTGGGCACAAGTAGTAGAAAACAACAGCAACTATATTGTTGATTAAATTTTGTTGTATTGTTTAAATAAATTCGATTTAAAAAAAGTATTAGAAAACGACATTAATTATTACTAGACCTAATAAGTACTAGAAATAAACTGGGTAATCCATGTTTAACACATGGGTTCTCCTTGGCCTATTTATCCAAACTCAAGTTCTTGGAAAAGGAAGAAAATACTATAATGCCATTTATTTCAAATGTTTATTGTTGAGAAATTTGCATATCAAAATGACTCCTGATAATAAAGGGATGTACTCTTGTGGAAAGCTGGAAGTTTAGGCTTAATTAAGCCTTTGCAGAAAATGTGAAATTTCTTTGATGCTTCCTTTTTAAGTCAAGGGATATTATCGTTTTCTCCCAGTAAATAAATGATAAAACCAAGAAATGAACAATAACTAAAAAATTAGACTGTGAAAATTTAATTAAAAAATGTATTACTTTTTGTAAAACATTGTTTGTATTGTTTACAAAAAAAAAACTCAGTAAAAATTATAAATTAACTAAAATTATTTCCTGAAACATAACATAAAAACCACCTTTAATTAAGGACCGAAACAGAGCAGGATCAAAGAAAATAAGTTGGCTTAAAAAAAATGGAAAGAAATTTGAAAGAAGTCATACCACCCCCATTCAGATTAGCACTTACCCTTCTCCTGTTAAAGCACAGCAGGACTGAATGTGCCATGGATGGTCCTTAATTGAACTAAGGGTGAGGTATTTGGAGATTTCTGCTGCTGTCATACACCCTTTCATATCCTGTTTATTTGCAAAGATAAGGACTGCAGCCTTCCTTAAGTCCTGCAATCAACATGAAATATTTCTAATACCTGAAATACCACAATTCAAATTAAACTAAGCACAAGAGTAAACGTACCCTCCTGGACAGTTACAGTGAAATCCCTTTACTTTAAAATGATTAGGAACACATTTTTTTTTAAAAATGTGTTTTTTTAAATTGATTTCAGAGTGCAAGGGAGGAGATAGAAACATCATGATGAGAAAGAATCATTGATCAGCTGTCTCCTGCATGTCCTTTACCAGGAAGCTAGCCCGAAACTTGACATTTGCCTTTGGCCAGAATCAAACCCAGGAACCTCCAGTCTGCAAGCTGACACTCTATCCACTGAGCCAAACCAGCTAGGTTACGCACAGATGTTTTAATTAAAAAATTTTATAGAAATACAAGTAAATATCTCAAATAACCATGATTCACTAATTCAGTCTAACAAAGGCAGATTAACCATTACATAATGTTTTATAAAGATGACACATAAATAAAAAGGACACGAGGATGTACTGCACAGCATGGTAACTATAGTCAATAACAGAGTGTTGTGTATTTTAAAGTTGCTAAGAGAATAAGTCTGAATAGTTCTCATCACAAGAAAAATATTCTGAAACTATGTATGGTGACATATTAACTAGACTTCTGGTGGTGATTATTTCACAATATATGCAAATATTGAATTATTATGTTGTATTCCATGAAACTAATATAATGTTGTATTTCAATTATATCTCAATAAAAAATGAAAAGGCAAACAAAACAAAAAACAAAACAAAAACAATGGCACATAATATTCTGTATAACTGGCAGGTAAATAAGAATTTTAAATATAAAAATCTATACTAATAAAAGGGTAATATGCTAATTAGACCAGACATCTTCCAGATAGCCACGGTGGTAGGGCTGAGGTAGAAGTGGTTAGGGACAATCAGGTTGGCAGGGGAAAGCAGTTAGGGGCAATCAGGCCAGCAGTGGAGGGCAGTTAGGGGGCAATCAGGCTGGCAGGCAGAGTCAGTTAGGGGCGATCAGGCTGGTAGGGGAGGGCAGTTAGCGGCAATCAGGCAGGTAGGGGAGGGCAGTTAGCGGCAATCAGGCCAGGAGGCAGGGGAGCAGTTATGGGGCAATCAGGCTAGCAAGCAAGCAGTTAGGGTTGGGACGATCAGGCAGGCAGTCGAGCAGTTAGGAGCCAGCAGTACCAGATTGTGAGAGGGGTGTCTGACTGCCAATTTAGGCCCTGTGGGATCGGGCCTAAACCAGCAGTCGGACATCCCCCGAGGGGTCCCAGATTGGAGAGGGTACAGGCTGGGCTGAGGGACACTCCCGTATTTTTCTAAGAGTATAAAAATATTCATAGGGATGATAATCACTATTTCACCATAGTGGAATTCTTTTTTGGTTTCCTTCAGAAAGGAAGAAAATCAAATTGGAGAAGTCTCAAAAGATATTTACTATATTAAGTTGAGTGGTGGGAGCATAAATGTGTTTTATTATTGAAGTTTTTTATATATTTGAAATATTCATAGTTAGTTGATCTCAAATTATTCACTAAAGAATTTTCAGTTCTTATAGCCTCAGGATTTTTATTATTTTATTTTTTTTAATATATTTTTTATTGATTTTTAGAGAGGAAGGGAGAGGAGAGAGAAAAACGACAAGAGGGACACATCGAATGGCTGCCTCCTGCATGCCCCTTAGTTGGGATCGAACCTGCAACCCAGGCATGTGCCTTGACCAGAAACGAAAAGGGGACCTCTTGGTCCATGGGATTACATTCAATCCACTGACCACCACCAGCCAGGCAACTCTTGGGATTTTAAACTCTTATGTTTTCCCCTTTCCTGCTTTGATCTATCAGATTTTTTAAGGCATAACTGTAGTTTTAACTTTGAAAAATCTTTACCAGTAGTCTAAAAATAACATGCTGGATTTTTTTAAGTTTGAAAAAGTAATGACAAATCTTATTAATATAACAACTTGGTTAATAATGAAATAACCAACACCGGAGAATATTAATATTTGTAAAAAGCAAAACCAGTATAGAGATACCTTACTCCACTGCTTATAATGTTTTAAAAACTTACCTCATGAGCCAACATTCTGTATAATTCTTCTTTCGTAATAGCTAGTCGTTCCCTGTCAATGCTATCTACAACAAGAATGATGAACTAGAAGACAATTAAAAAGAAAGAAAATTGAATGCGTTATTGACGTTTTCTACAAAACAATTTTCAAGTGATAGAAGTATTTTTTCACATGGCATTATCTTACTATAAAACAGTCTATTACTTTTTCATTATAACAAGTTTATAGTACATGGAATTACATCGAGCAGTACAAAATAATGTAACTTCATCAAATACAAACCATGCCCAATTTTATTTTTTTAAAGTGATATTTGAATACATAATATCCTGTAATACTAAGATTTATTTTGAAAACCAAGTAATAATAAGTAATTTTTTAAAAATCACAGTAAGTAAAATAACTTTTGCCAAATCTTAAAAGTATTCTACAACCATTTATTTAGGCAATCAATAATTATGTTTTTACTATAGACTTCTGTCTATTCGAAAGAAGTACACAAACTAGTTTGAAAGAGAAACATTTAAAAAAATCAAATAAAGCATTTTTGCATAACAATATCAACAATAAAAGCACAAGAAAAATGTGTTTCTTAGGTGTTATTAAATTATGCTCAAAGCATTTTATTACTCCTCTAATCAGGGCTTCTAATGAAGCTGAGATCTTGGGAAAGATATAAATATATATAATTTATGTTCATGTCCAATTTCTCCAACAATGGAGATACTTCAGTATTAAGGTGAGGATAAACGGAAGTCAGCACATCAGAAAGCACTTATCTAATAATAGCTCTCATTGCTCTTTCTCTTTTACTTGAAATCTCAAATTCTTTACTAAAAAAGGCAATTGTCAATATGTCTTAGGTATAACCTATCTATTTTCTGGGTTTACTCTCTGGTTCTTTTTATTAAATTTACTTTAGTAACTCTAGTATACCTCTGTGTTTGAATAATACGTGTTCCACGATGACCGCAATGACTCTTGACCACCAATGTCCCACATAAGAAAATGAGTGTTCTTCACAACTATTTCTTCAACATTGCTTCCTATGGTTGGAGATGTATGAACCACTTCATTCATTAAGCTGTTGAAAGATAGACACCATAAAAGCTCTTTTGTATATCTTGAGAATATGAAGTAACTTTTAATCTCTGTATTTAACAGGAATCAATCTTCCTTATTTGTGCCAATTGATGGTTAATTACAAGCATCAAAAATAGAACCTTAGAAAACACTTTGCAAACAAATATCTAGACAAAGAATAACTACAAAAGAAAACTGTTCTTTTGTTAATGGAATAAACTATGTACTTGATCTGAAGAGAAGGGAACTCTGTGGTGTGAGTTTGCATTTCTTTGGCCAAAATTTTAATACCACCATGCCTTGTTATCAGAGCAGAACCTAGGTTCCATCCTGGAAGAGCAAGTTTCTAGGTGACAGGGACACCAATATTTACAGTGTAGCATCCAGGGAATAGTAGGCTATTTAAAATTTTGAAGACTGTCTATGTCAGAAAACTGAGACTTAGTTCAGCCATAAATATTAGTTCAGGCCTATTAACCTCAATTATAGTCTTAAAAAAATGGGCAAATGAAAACTTTAATGAAAATTAATTCTAAATACATATAGTATAGAGATACTCATATCACATGTATTATCATAACCATTCATTAAACTACATTAATTTATTCAACAAAGATGAATTTGCCTCTAACATGCCAATGTTGAGTTGCAAGAAACATTCTAATCCCTTTTGGGTATTATATATGCTATGCACAAAATTATTTCAACAACAGTGACAGGTTTCTGACATGTTTATATTTAACTAGGGGCCCAGTGCACAAAATTTGTGCACAGATAGGGTTCTTAGTGGCTGTTGGCCGGGGTCTCCCTTCCCCTGGCAGGGCTGGCTGGGGGGGAAGGGCCATGGGCAGTTGGCCAGCCAGCCCCACCCCCTGGTTGAACTCTGGTTAAGGGAACAATTTTTGCAAATTAGGCTTTTATCATATAGGATTAAAAAAAAAATAAGTAGCTACTCAACTTAAAACAAGTCATAATTTAGAAGCTTTTTAGCAAAGTAGCTGAAAAATGTTAAGCACTGCTAAAGTGAAGTATTTCTGGAGAACTGTCAGCTGATATATTTAAGATGAAGTGGGAAGGCACAAGAACCCCACAATGGTGCACTGTGTTTTTTTATAACCACTTGTTAAAATGCTTCAGACACAGAGCCATTTTACTGCTTAACACGGGCCATTTCATTAGCAATAAAAGGATAATGGTATATATTTTGACAAGTGGACTGATGTGCTGTTAAAATTTCCTTAAAGTATTAATGTACTTCTCTGAAAGTCTCAAACTTCTTCCTGTTGCAAAGTTACTAAAGCAATATTTTCAGGGGCAATCTTCATTTCTTTTGAATTGACAAGTCTGGCTATGTTAAACATTTCCAGAGCTATTAGGAGAGTAGCAAAAACTTCCTAGAGATAACAATCTATTTACATAAATCTCAGTGTGAGAATAAACTAATGAAATGCACTTTTTCACCTCATTCTAGCACTATAATATGTGCTTTATTTACCCTAATTTTATATTAATTCTTTCTTTCAAGGCCAGAAAATAAGTTTGTGAAGGCTTTAAGAAGCAGAGTTATTTTTTAATTTTTAAAATACATTTTTATTGATATCAGAGAGAGGGAGGGGAAGAGTTTAAAACATCAATGATGAGAAGCACCAATTGGCTGCCTCCCACACACCCTATATTGGGGATCAAGCCAGCAATCCAGGTATGTGCTCTGACTGGGAATCAAATTCTGATTCATAGGTCAACGCTCAATCACTGAACCACACCAAATGGGCGTTTTTCATAAATTTTGTGTTCAGTAAAATACAAAAAAATTTATGTTCAAGTTTTTCCATTATAATACCTTATTCTTGTTAATTATACAAATTAGTTCCAATAAATAAAATAATGAAACTATTTAAATATACACTCATACTTACAATTGATAAAGAATGGTAGTTTTCCCCGCATTGTCCAGTCCCACTATAATCACTTTGTGCTCTATAGAGAGAAAGCAAACCAAAAACATTTAACACTGCTGCATACTACAATTACATACTATCAACAATGATTATTAGTTAGCTCTCAAATGAGAGTCCATTCACTGGATATTTATAAGACTGTTAAAAAATAAAAGAGAACTTACTTTGATGCCAAGACTACCTGCCTTAAGTGATACCATCTATTATGATATTATTTATCTAGCTCTCTTACAAAGGGATGCTGGAGATAGGAAAGAGGGGAGGACAGGAGAACCTGGTCACTTTTATTGAGTTTGGGGTGATAAAACCCAATACTAGTCTTAATAAAATATTGTAACTTAAAACGTGTTTTGGGAGGATCCAAGATGGCTGCTCGGGTAGACACCTAACCGCAGCAGCACACAACAATTTCAATGGAATACAACTAAAATGTAGAGTGGACATTGCCCAGAGCTACAGGTAGTCGACTGACTGAAAATTCTACAACAAGAAGGAAAGAGAAAACCAGAAGGAAAATCAGAGGAGCTGAAAAAAAGCCTAAGGTACGGAGACATACTGCGCGCCCGCACGCGCACGCGGAGAGGTCGCAGCCGGAGAGGAGGAGAGGGCTGGGTGCTGCCTGGCGTTCCCTAGCAGGAAGGAAATAAAACCCCCAGCCTGGGCTGAACCCCCAAACCGGCACCGCTGACCCCCAGTTATGAGCCAGACCCTGGGGACCCAGGCTCCGGTGGGGGATAGGGGGCTGTGAGGCGGAATCCCAAGCGAGCAGTGAAAAGCAGGGCCCCCGGAGTCACACGCACTTTGCGCGCAGAGGACTGAATGTTGACTCTGATGCTGGATTATCCTAGCGTGAAGAAACAAAGCCTCCGGCGGCATTGAGCCTCAGTCCGGACTGCTCTGAACCCCAGTCCTGGACCAGACCCTGGGGACCTAGGCTCGGGCAGGGGGAGACGGGGCTGTGAGGCGGAATCCCAGGGAAGTGGCGAAAAGCGGAGCCCCCAGAGTCTAGCGCACTGCGTGCAGAGGACAGTCTGTTGACTCTGATCCTAGACTCCCCTAGCGGGAAGGAGAAAAAAAAAAAAGCTCCAGACTGGAGGAATGCAACAGGGAGCAGGAGCCCCTGCCGGACACCAGCCAGCCGGGCGACGGCAGGGAACCGGGCGACGGGGCCCCCAGGAGGAGGGGGGGGTGCCCCCGAGCCATCGACCTCTGAGCGCGGGCAACAGAGCCAAGGCCGGGGGCTGCTTCCTGGGCGGCGCTGACCCCGGCAACAGGCTGAAGCAGCGCGGGAGCCCTCGGAGAACAAAGGGGTGCCATAGGCCAACCTGCTGAGCTCCCAGGACAAGGAGGAAGAAACCAAAGTTCTCAATGTGAAGAAATCAAGTGAGAGCAAAAGATAGTAAAATTACTTAAGAAAGAATACAAAGAAGATCTTGAAAAATCAAAGACTAAGTCAGAACTCAACTCACCAGCCAACATTGCAACATAAATGCGTTTAAAAAAAAAAAAAAAAGGACAGAATGTTGGAACAGCGGCGGCCAGGCCTAGAGTGCCCAGGCACAAAGCAATGGCAACCAGGCCCGGAGCAGCAACGGCCAGGCCCCAGAGCAGCAGCAGCCAGAACCAGAGCAACAACAGCTAGCACTGGAGCAGCCAGACCTGGGGCAGTGGCAGCCAGGCCTGAGGCGGAGGCAGCCAAGCCCAGGGTGGCCAGTCCAGGAATACCCAGACCCGGAGTGGCCGGACCCGGAGAAGCCGGACCCAGAGCAGCCGGGTTGGGAGCAGCCAGGCCCAGAACAGCAGTAGCCAAGCCCGGAGCATCCAGGCTGGGAGTGGCCAGACTCGGAGCGGCCGGGCCTGGGGCAGCCGGGCCCAGAGCAGCTGGGTCTTGTGCGGCCAGGCCTGGAGCAGCAGCTGCCAGGCTGGGAGCGGCCAGGCCTGGAGCAGCCGGGTCTGGTGTGGCCAGGCCTGGAGCAGCGGCTGCCAGGCTGGGAGCGGCCAGGCCCGGAGCAACCAGGTCTGGTGCGGCCAGGCCCGGAGCAGCAGCTGCCAGGCTGGGAGCGGCCAGGCCCGGAGCAGCCGGGTCGGGTGCGGCCAGGCCTGGAGCAGCAGCAGCCAGGTCCAGAGCAACTAGGACGGGAGCGGTGGTGACCAGACCCGGAGCAGCTGGTTGTGGAACGAACCAGAGCAACAGAGGCCAGGCCCGGAGCAGCCAGGCCCGGAACAGCTCGCTCCTCGCCTGCTCCTGCCCCACGGCTGCCTCTCAGACATGGCTGGAAACTTTTGTGGGAACTTGAGGATCTGCTGAATCAAGTGATGAAGGCTTAGATCTGGATGTGTTGAGTTAGTATAGGGCTGGGGTGTTGATCTGTGAGTGCCTTGGGTGGGGCCTGGATGAGGCTGGTTGACCTATTTGGAAATGTCTTTTGTGTGAAATGTATCATTGGGCATGTGGTGGTATTATTGATATGAGAAAATGCTAAGTAACTGATTTACTATCTGAAAAGGGATTTACTATCGGGGAAAGGGAGGGAGGAAGAGACTGAACATAAACTGCACCTATAAATGAAAACAATGGGGGATGGGGAGGGGGCGGAGGGTGGGGTGGGAACCTGGTGGAGGGGGGAAGAAATATGAATAATAAAGATTGATTTTTTTAAAAAAGCACAAATAAATAAATAAATAAATAAATAAAACGTGTTTTGTTTTTAGTAAGTGTTTCATACACACCTTCTTGCCATCTCTACTAATCAAATTTACTTTTTCTCAAGTTGTTTTTACACCTGGAAGTTTTCCCACCTTCATGTACCAAGACTTTTTTCCATTTACTTAAAAGCTCAATTTAAAATGTAAATCTGAAAAGTTTCCTATTGCTAATAAGATATACATACTCTTAACTAGTTTTCCATTCCCTCCATTAATCTACAGATAAATACACAATTACTTAATCTTTAACTTTTTTTTTTCCATCTGGATTTTACAATTCTTTTGGCAGATACTGTTTTGGTTCTGTGTACAATGAAAACCTCTTTATTTTCCTCCTTCTGCACTAAATAGTAACTTAGTTCATAAGTAGTTTTTAAGCCCAATCTAATTATTCTGTTAAGAGGTAAGTATTTCAAAACCTCCTTTGAACATAGAAGAGAACACCCCAGATTTCATCTTTTCTAGATTTTAACCTATATAGAATACTTAAGATTGTTCTTCTCCATGGCAGAATGTTTCAAAATCTACTCCTCAACAGGGTATGTAAGGAAGCTGTCATAAGAATCACAATGCAATCAACTGATCTGCAGTCAATGTTGTGGCACAATTCATATCAGAACCCTGCTCCTCTTGTTAAACTTTCATGAATGTCAAAATTCTCATTTTATATCTAATCAAATATCAGATATTTCCACTCTTAATATGTTAATATTGCATCAAAGAGTGGGACCATAATTTACAGACAAGTTCTTAGGTGACAAATCATCTTTGTATCTTCTAATGACTTGGCTGCTGTAACAACGTAATATTGCAGAGCAAATGACATGGTTCTGGGAGGGCTGTTTTTACTATGGCAGAAGATGCTTTGTAAAACAAAACAAAACTTGCTTGCTTATTGTAACTCATAATTCTCCTTTTCTGACTCGCTTGGTTTGTAGCCTCTAATTTCTAGTGGAACCAGTATTGGGGTGTTGCTCCATCTTTCTCCCTTATAGCACAAGAACAAGAGCATTTTTATCAGTGGAGCAGCAATCCCACCACCCAGCACCAAGCATTCTAAATCTTGGTGACAGCTGGAAACCACATGACTAGCATCAGGGGACCACGGGTGATCAGTGTACATCATAGTGAGCAATTGAACTCCCGTTGGGTCAAATTCCTGAGGGGACACTTTGCATATTAGGCTTTTATATATATATAGATAATAAAATATAGCTTGGAACAGACTGCAGAACTTGAGATCTATTCTTTCTCTTCCACCTCTTCAGTACCTGTGAGAAGTACAATTCTCTAGAAACATACAAAACTACTAACCCGGCGAAAGAAGTTAGCTTGAAAAGCAGGCAGATAGGGCAGTGGCCCAGGGGGAAACAAAGGCAGGTAGAACAAACATGGGCAAACAGAGCAGTTTGAACAAGCCTAATCACAGAATCCAACCGTGTTTTTGGACACAGAGTAGAAAGTATGGGAAATCAAAGAAGGGCCTGCAGCAACAAGATGTACATACACATAAAATCAGAACATCAAGGTCAGTTGCTGGGCAAGAACAATGACGGAATCAATCAGGTGGTGACACAGGTAAAGACAGAGCAAGCCTGTAGAACATGTATACTCCTAGAATGACTTGCTTTAAAACAAAACAAAACATCAGAGCCCGGCCAGTATGGCTCAGTGGTTAAGCATCGACCTATGAACTAGGAGGTCATGGTTTGATTCCTGGTCAGGGTTTATGCCTGGATTGTGAGCTCCACACCCAGCTAGGGAGTGTGTGAGGCAAACATTTACTGATTCTCTCTCATCACTGATGTTTCTTTCATCATTGATAGTTATGTGACTATCTCCCTCTCCCTTCCCCTCTGAAATCAATAAAAATATATTAGAAAAAAAAAAGCCAGAGATAAACAGAAAATTCTAAAATCAACTACATAGAAAAAAAAAAATAAGAGTAAGAATGATACTTGTAAAAGAGGTACCATCTAACACCCGTCAGAATGGCTATCATCAACAAATCAACAAATGACAAGTGCTGGTGAGAATATGAAGAAAAAGGAACCCTCGTGCACTGCTGGTGGGAATGCAGACTGGTGCAGCCACTGTGGAGAACAGTGTGGCGTTTCCTCAAAAACTAAAAATGGAACTCCCATCTGACCCAGTGATACCACCTCTAGGAATATATCCCAAGAAATCAGAAACACCAATCAGAAAAGATGTATGCACCTCTATGTTCATAGCAGCACAATTCACCATAGCTAAAATTTGGAAACAGCCTAAGTGCCCATCAGCAGATGACTGGATTAGAAAACGGTGGTACATCCTCACAATGGAATACTACACTGCTATAAAAAAGAAGGAATTTTACCATTTGCAGCAGCATGGATGGAACTGGAGAGCATTATGCTAAGGGAAATAAGCCAGACAGAGAAAGATAAATATTCTATGATCTCACTCATTTGTGGAATATAATGAACATAAACTGAAGAACAAAAGCAGATCCACAGACAGAGAAGCATCGATCAAATGCTCAAACCTCAGAGGGAAGGTAGGGGAGGATGGGGGTAAAGGGGAGAGAATAACCAAAGGACTTGTATGCTTGCATAAGAGCCTAACCAGTGGACACAGACACCAGGGGGGTGAGGGCATGAGCAGTAATCAATAAAGAAAGAAAGAAAAAAAGAATACTTGTCTTCTCAACAACACTGAAAACTGGAGGAAAATGACAAATCAAGATTTTGAAAGAAATGTTTTACAATTCAGAATTTTATATTCAGGTCAGTTATAAATAAAAAGTGAGGACAGACCAATACATTTTCAGGCATTTGAAATTGCAAAATAATTATCACTTTGGATAATGTTGCAGGGAATTTCTGAAGGATGTGTTTCATGAAAATAAGGGCAAAGCAAGAAGGACAAGAGTTCCAAAAAAAGTGAATTCATATCTCAAAATCCATGCCTTTAGAAGTTATGTCTATTGAGAAAAACAGATAAACAAGTAAAGAAACATGATTACAGGTAGAACAAAACATTAGTCCAAAAAATAGAGAATGAATGTTGGCGTGGGAAGAGTGGTCAGGGATGGCCTCTCTCAGGAGTAACATTTGGTCCCAAATGTGAACCATTTGAAGGGAAAAGAGTGTTCCAGAAAATGAGGAGCAGACAGATGGTAAGGTTAAGTGTCCTATGTTTGAAACCAGCAAAAAGTCCAGAATTAAGAGCACAATAAGGTAAAGAGAGAAATGAAAGACACCAGATCTGAGCAGTCAGAACAATAACAACGTCATAAAAAGTTGGCTATCAGCGCTCATTGATAAGTGTGTCAAAGTAATCAGTCTTGTACCTTAAATTGTGTACTTTGTAATAGCTTTACTTAAGCAGCACATGCTTTAGTATGCTTATTCCCAGAAAGGTATCAAATTTATGAAGAGATGCTTAGTGCTCTAAAATGTTACAAGGAAAAAAGATGGAAGTGAGGCAAACAATACAAGCTAAGGGAAAGGAGTATTTAAGGTAAGTAGTTCTCAACTCTGGCAGCACATCTGAATCATCTTGGCAGTGATGCCCAGACCACCCGACCCCATTCTGATTGAATTGGTCTGAGGGGGGGCCTTGGGCATATTATTCTAATATACAACCAAGATCGAGTGATTTGAGTATCTCTGGATTAAATGTGTTATAGTGGTTAAAATGGAATATGCTGAGGTTGTCCTTAATTTTGTCAATATAGAAAGTAAAACGAGAAGCATACAAACATGGAATAGGCTGATGAATGTCAGAGGGGAGGAGGAGAGGGGCCCAAAGGAACCAACCAACTCATATGGCATATATGTAGTATTACCGTATTTTCCGGCGTATAAGAACGACCCCCTAATTTTACAGTTAAAACATAGGTTTAGGCCTATATTCGCTGTATAAGACTACCCCCCACTTCCGAGGCAACACCAGTTCTTTTTTTAATAGACCGCCTCTCTGACTCTGGCCAATCTGAGCAGGCTTTTTACTAGAACACAGTGTCCTCTTATACGCCGGAAAATAACGGGTACCTATGGACACAGACAATAGGGTGGTGAAGGAGTCAGGTGGAGAGGGGTAATGGGGGGACATCTGTAATACTCTCAACAATAAAGATTTAAGAAAAAGAATGGTTGCATCTTATAAAGTGAAAAAAGAAAGTATAAATACAAGACTACTAAAATAGCAATCTCTTGCTTCAAAACAACACACCATGACTAAACTCTTCAACAGCTCCCATGACTTGCTCCGTATAAAGGCTTAGTGAACATACAAGGCCCTCTGTGATCTGGTTCCCCTGGCTACCTTTCCAACCTCATCTCCTCTGACTCCCCACAGGCAAACTAAAACACAGCCAAACTAAACTATTTTCAGCTCCTTCCATGTACCAAACTATTTAATTCCTCTCCCATTGCATATTATTAGTCCTTCTGCCTAAAATAACATGCCCTTTCTACTCGTCTGCCTAACATGCCTTAGTTATAAACTCCTACTTACTATTAAAGTCCAACTATACCTTTTCCTGCAGTCTTCCAGGAACCACATTAGAAAAAATAATCATTTTCTTTTGGTACCACCACACTTTTATATATATCAGTTAATAATTTATCACATTTTTTTCCTACTTCTGTTATGTACCGATGTTGGAGCATTATAAGAGCAAGTACAAGGTAACTATCTTTTCTGTTTGTCTTTAAATTTTTGTATCTCCTATGTTTAACTCTAAAGACTGATTTACACCCTATGCCCATGAATGAATGAGAATAAAATGAAAACCACTAGTACTAAATATATAGCAGGAAAGTTAAAGTCTAAATAGTAAGGAGAATGTATGAGTTATGTGACTATTAAAGCAGCCCATAAACACGTTTCATCATCTCCCGAATTTTCCCTTTGTATTCTCCAGTCCCTTTTAATCTGATTAAGAAAGATTGGAACAAATAAACAAACAAAGCTGATAAAGAGCAGCAATAAAATAGGGAGGAGAAAGAGGAATGGGACAGATTACCAGGGAAAACCAAAGACTTAGGTAATATTTTATTTCTTTAAACTACAGGAAAAATAAGCAAGTGATTACTATATGGATCTTTATACTTTTTTAGCATGTCTTAAAAGTGCTGTTTTATATAGTAGTGAATTTAGGTAACAAGGATTAGCAAATATAAACTGCTGAAAAAATAATACATTAAATTTAAGTATGGATAATATTCATAAGATGTGCCGAAACCAGTTTGGCTCAGTGGTAGAGCGTCGGTCTGCGGACTGAAAGGTCCCGGGTTCGATTCCGATCAAGGGCATGTACGTTGGTTGCGGGCATATCCCCGGTCGGGGGTGTGCAAGAGGCAGCTGGTCAATGTTTCTCTCTCATCGACGTTTCTAGCTCTCTGTCTCCCTTCCTCTCTGTAAAAAATCAATAAAATATATTTAAAAAAAACAAAATATATATATATATATATATATATATATATATATATATATATATATATATATATATTTATTTATTTATTTATAAGATGTTAAACTCTGGCCACTTTAAAATCACTTGAAAGTGTGGTAATTGGCCCCAACAGTCAGTGAAGAGAGCCTGGGCCTTCAGACCAAAGGGTCCCGGATTGGATTCCAGGTCAAGGGCTTGTACCTGGGTTACAGACTCCTCCACCGCCTGGGCCCAGGAGGCAACCAATAGATGTAACACATCGATGTTTCTCTCTGTCTTTCCCTCTCTCTCCTACTTTCTCTAAAAATCAGTGGAAAAATATCCTTGGATGAAGATGCACAACAAAAGGTGTGGTAACTGAATATGCCTACATATGTATATGCATAGATATTTATAACCTTGGAAAAGATTATTTTAGTGTTCTTATCAATCTGTGGAACAAGTGAACTAAAACCACTTCATTGTCTTCACTTCTTTTTTTATTTTTTATTTTATTGATTTTTTACAGAGAGGAAGGGAGAGAAAGAGCTAGAAACGTCAATGAGAGAGAAACATCATTCAGCTGCTTCCTGCACAACCCCGCACCGGGGATGTGCCCGCAACCAAAGTACATGCCCCTGACAGGGATCGAACTTGGGACCTCCCAGTCCGCAGACTGACGCTCTACCACTGAGCCAAACCGGTTTTGGCTGTCTTCACTTCTTCAATCCCGATAAAAGATACCACATTAACTGTAACATATTAGTATAATCCTAAGTTTTTTATTATGTCCAGGAATTAAGTTCGAAATGAAACTAGTTGAATTGAAAAACTAGTTTCAATTACTAAGAAAAATATTAAAAGAATACCTAAAACTTTACCTATTGTCTCCTTTTTCTTGTTTTTTGTTTGTTTGGGTATTTTCCCTTTTCAGGAGACATCACATTTAATTCTCTGACTCAGAACAGGTTTTACAACTTGTTGGCCCTTTGGACTTGAAACTTCTGATGTCTCATAACGAATTCTAGAGTCATGCCGACACGCAAATCCTACATAGAGCCAAAGCCTTTGGTTTTCTATCGTCTAGGACAGGAATAAAGGGTTTAGGCTGAAGGTTTCCAGAAAGCCGTGTATCTGAAAAGGATGACTCGCTCCAGAGTCCTGGAGAGTAGGCGGCATCAGAGAACGTGAAGAAGGCGCATTGGCTAAAAGAGCAGGTCGAAAACAAAGCAGCACTAGTTTAAAAAAAAAAAAAAAAAAAAAAAAAAAGTCGATCAGTTTCAGGACGGGCACTCACCCTGGGGCAAGACTTGGGATGTTTCATTAGAGACAGAAAAGGCACCCCACATGTCTCCAGGTACCAAGAGGTGTTTTCCGCTGAGCTTCACCAACATCCAAACATCCTAAGTTTGGATTCTGGGACACCAAACACCTCCCTTTCGGACTCCCCCTTTCTCCCACACACCACGTCTCTCCCGCACCTTCTCCAGGCCAAAGCCTGAATGTCCGCCCGCTCCCGGGACTCCGGCGCTTCTCTGCGTCCCCGGACCTCCGTCCGCCCACAGCCCGGCCCGCGGCGCAGCAACTTCCTCTCACCTTGGTTACAGAAGAGGCTCCAGAGTTTGGCGAAGATGAGCCCCATCATGAGCGCCTGGGCCGGCCGCGGGGTCCCTCAGCAGCAGGTGCCGCTGCGCGGGGGCCCCTCCGCGGCGCGGGCGGGGAGCGCTACGGGGAAGCGGCGCCGAGAGGGCACGGGGTGGCCCGGGGGCGTCGATCGGCCGTCCGGCTGCCGGTCCCCAGGCGCCGCGCCGAGCCCCGTCCGCAGACTCCTTTGTTTCGAGCCCAGTGAACCCAACGCCGACCCGTAGTTGCCTCGGCCTGAACCCACCTACCCACCAAATCCCCCACCAGATCCAGGCCCCGCCTTCGCTCCGCCTCCGCGCCCGACCTCAGGACCACCCATCGCCGGAAGGACGGCACCTGACGTAGCGCGCTGACGTCAGCCCACGCCTCCGACGTGGCGTTTCCTCCGGTTTCACTTCCGGTGTGCAGGCTCCGGCGGCCGGTGTTGGAGGAGGAAGGTGGGCATGAGTGGGAGTTGTTGGGGAGTTTCCCTGTCGTCACTGCTCGGAGCCGCGCCGGCGTCCCTTTCTGGAAGATCCGCTGTCTGCAGGTGCTTTCCGGCCTCCACACCGGGCCGCTCGCAGCTTCCAGGCGCGGCCGCCTCCTTTTGCTGCACAGAAGCTGCAGGTGCCAGCTGACGGCTGCTGTCACCCTGTGCAGGCAGATTGGGGTTCCGCCTGGATCCTTCACTGCGTGGACTTGATTGGGAGAGAATCCATGAAATAAAATAACATATTGCCGAAACCGGTTTGGCTCAATGGTAGAGCGTTGGCCTGAGGGCTGAAAGGTCCCAGGTTCGATTCCAGTCAAGGGCATGTACCTTGGTTGTGGGCCCGTCCCAGGAAGGGGGTGTGCTGGAGGCAGCTAGTCGATGATTCTCTCTCATCGATGTTTCTGGCTATCTCTTTCCCTTCCTCTCTGTAAAAAATCAATAAAATATATTTTTTAAAAAGAAAAAAAAATAACTTATTGTTTGAAGTTTTGATTGGAAAGAATTTCTTTTAATTAAAATGGAGTCCCAGCAGCCTCTCCAGTTAAACAAGATAGAAGAAAAAACCCCACAAGTGCTATACTTGAAGTAAAGCAAAAATTTCGTCGGAGGAAAAGGTCAAGCTAGGGAATTAAGATGTACAATATATACTGAATATAACTTAGAAGAAATTATAACAAGCTAAGTTCAGTAAATACTTATAAGAACTAGCTGCAGCTGGAATTTAACTCTATTACTCAGTTAACTCAGAAACCTGTGTGTTCATAAACCAATTTGCTACATAATCAGTTCACTTCCTTTTTCATGGTTAGATTCTAACAAATTTAGACGCTTCACAACCTTAGATAAAATGTAACTAATTACCCTGAAATTAGTTTAAGGAGCAAACTTAATTGAAAAGACTCTGGGTCTTATTCAGGTGGTAGATTTTACCATAATACCAAATCCTTTTAACGTGCCAAACTATAGGCATAGCCTTGATTTATTGCTTTTTGCTTTATTGTTCATTGCAGTTATATTGCAATGTTTTTACTAGACCCTCCACCAGCAAAATATTTTAACTTGATGAAGACTCAGATAATGGTTAGCATTTTTTAGCAATAAAATAAGGTAGGAATGTAGCTTGTTTTTTTTAAAGATATAATACTATTGCACACTTAATATAGTATAAACATAATTTTTATGTGCACTGGGAATCCAAAAATCTCATGACTTGCTTTATTGCAATATCTGCTTTATTGTGGTGGGCTGGAAACAAATCCCTACCTCACAGGTATGTCTATATTTCATTACCTGTACAGAGAGACATATGATTTATGTCCTCCCAGTGTTATGATTCAAAGACCCTTTAAGCTTTAGTAATGTGATAATGTGCTCCAACTCTCTGATATTAAAGGCAAGTTTTAATCTCGGACATAAAGCTGTACATATGCAAATTAGTTTAACTTTTATGACCATGCATTGACCTACAAATGTAAATGATTTTGAGTATGTGTTAATAAAGACTTAAAGGAATGTTTTCTAGTCCTAACTTTATTAAACTATTAGGTTTAGATTTTGTAACTTAGCTTAAATATTACACATGGATATATACTACATTCTTTTTTTTTTTTTTCTGGCTTTCAGATTTCTAAGAAATAGTATCCAAAAAAAGCATTTTTTTGCAGAGCCTTGAAAAAAAATCCAAAAAACACACACCCTAATTATATATTCCTTAAATATTCTTATGGTTGGCCTAAAATGATACTTTAAAATCAATAAATTTGAATTATTCTTTCACTTTTAATTAGATGGAATGAATATATTTGAACAACACTGCTGATTTTTTTTATTGATTCTACTTTTTTGAAATGTATGAACTGTTGATCAACTGTTCTAATTTATTCTTATGTTTTCTACAATTTACCTGAAAACAATACTGCTATGAAATTTTACAAATAATTTTTCACATTGGAAAATTATATTAGTAGATTTAGAAATTACAAGTTTTTACTAAAGGAAACAAGTTTTTACTAGTCACAACTGAAAAATGACTATGATTGATTAACAAACTATAGTTGTGAGTTACCTAAACAGAAATGATGTGCCATACATAGTATATATAAAAGGCTGAGTGTCCATCTGACCAGTAGCTTGATGCACGTTGACCACCAGGAGGCAGACACTCAATGCAGAAGCTGTCATGACACCCACTAGCCATTTAAAAATAAACAGCATCACACACCGTGAGCTGACAAACCAAGGCTTCCCCCAAGTGGGACACAGGCCCTGCCACCATCCTACAGTGACACCCCACCAAATCGCAGCCAAAGCTGCCAAGATCCCCTGATGCAAAATATGGCCCTCAGACCAGCCCAGCCAGGAAAAGGTCACTGTGGGTGCCAGGTAATCACATCACATAGCAACACCGACTTCTTCTCCCTAGCGACTAGCCTCCTTGTAGTTTCTTCAGCCCAGAAATAGGACTTGCTTTATAACCAGGTGCAAATATTTTACACTAACCAAACGTTTGTGAAACATTTTCACGTGCCTCATCTCATTTGATCCTCACACAAGTCCTGGAGTAGGTAGATAGGAGACTTGGTAGAATCCTATTTTCATTAGCCAGAAAATGGAGATTTAGGAAGTTTAGAAACTTGACCCAACTGAAAAGAAGTAAAAAATGGTGGAACCTGAAAATGACTTCAGGTTTTCTCACTGCACAGAATATAGTGAAACACTGCTACAGCTAAATATTTTACCCTTTGTCCTCTCTGTGTGATCTACAATAATAGTCTGCTTCGTGTTGATATTTATTGCTGTGTTGCTAGCAATTACCTGAAAGAGAAGTTGGGGTGCTTCCTTGGGCTGGAAAAAGTTTAGCTACATCAGAAAGTAGGTCTAATTAGGCATGTTTATGCTATATCTATAAAAGGCTAAGTTAACACGCACATGAGCAATAAATATAAAGTTCTCAATGGCACCAATTGCATGGATGTGTTTCGATCTGTCATTGTTGATCGTGAATTTGTTTGACACTTCTATTATACAGGGCAAATAATGATATTAAAATATTTCTTCTAATTAATTTCCTTTCAATGTGAATGAATCTGTGCACCAGGACACTAGTTGATGTTAGAAAAAAATACAGGTTATTTTATTGTACATCTTTTTTAGTATATAAATTCTAGTAGAGATACTTGTCAATAATTCAATCAAACTAGAGAATTCTGAGTAATATGCTTTTCAAATGTAGTACTTTTAACACCTTTGTGATTTTTTTCTTAAAAAACATCACTTTAAGAACTTTTAAAAACTAACTTCAGTATACCTCTTGATCCAAAGGAGGGAACACTGTTCTATGGAACTTTACAAATTAAACATAAATATATCTTAAATTCATAAATAAGAAAAATGTAATAAAGGAGAATGATAATGCAACCATTAGGATTATACCTATTATGTTTTCTAAAGCATTCACAGGAAATATTGGGTCGGCAACTACGTAAGTGCGGATTTTTTAAAGAAAATCAAAGACAATTTTTTCATGGAATTAAATAACTTTATTCTGTAATGTATTGCCCATTTTGATCAATGACCTTTTACCATCTTTCAGGCAGCATCATAATCCCACGTTCAAAAAACTTCTGGTTTTTATTAGCAAAAAACTGAATCAGGTACGATTTGACATCATCATCATTATTGAAATTTTTACCATTCAAGGAGTTTTGTAAAGATCGAAACAAAAAGTAATCAGATGGTGCAAGGTCAGGACTATATGGTGGATGTGGCAAAACATCCCAACCAAGCTCCATTAATTTTTGCCGAGTGACCAAAGATGTGTGTGGCCTTGCATTGTCATGATGGAATACAACACCTTTTCGATTTGTCAATTCGGGCTGCTTTTCTTCAACTGCATTGTTTAATTTCGTTAGTTGTTCAATGTAGACATCAGAATTGATTGTTCGGTTGGGTGGTAAGAGTTCAAAGTAGACAATTCCTTTGTAATCCCACCAAACTGATAACAAAACCTTCTTTTGATGAATATCAGCTTTTGATGTTGTTTGAGTTGGTTCACCTGGCCTGCTCCATGATCTTTTCCGCTTGTTATTGTTGTAAACAACCCATTTTTCATCGCCAGTTATCAGTCGTTTTAAAAATGGATCATTTGCATTACGTTTCTTTAGCAAATCGCAGCTGCTAATGTGTTGCGTTAACTGTGATTCTTTCAGTTCGTGAGGAACCCATGTATCGAGTTTTTGAACATAGCCAAGTTGTTTTAAGTGATTTTCAATGCATGTATGTGATACATGAAGCTTCTCTGCAATCTCACGTGTTGTACTGTGACAGTCCGAATTGATTATTGCTTTGATTAGGGCGTCATCAACTTCAACTGGACGACCAGAGCGTTTTTCATCTTTGAGTGAAAAATCACCAGAACGAAATTTGGCAAACCAATTTTGACACTGCCGTTCTTTTAAGGCTTCGTCACCATAAACAGCACATAACTTTTTATGAGCTTGCAATGCGTTTTTCCTTTGTGGAAATAAAAAAGCAAAATATGACGAAAATGTTCCTTTTGATTTTCCATTTTTCAACGAACGCCAAACGAAAACTACAAAACAGATCAAAAAACTTTTTTCACTGATTAACAGCTGAATAGCCAACTACCAAATAACAAAATGTGTTTTACATTTGTACTACGTCTGCAAACCTAAAAATTCAACTGAAGCCATGTGTGTGTGAAACCCGCAATTACTTAGCTGCCGACCCAATAATTTTCTTTAATTGAAAGGAAGCCAGTAATCCTTCTCCAGTTCAACACATTTTAAGAAAAAGATACAAATGGTGTGCTTAGAACAAAACAAAAAAGCTGAAATTTCAGGGGAAAAAAATTCAAATAACTAGGGAATTAAAAAAAAAACCCACCAAAACATCTGATATCTTATCTAATATTCCTTAGGAGGAACTATTCTAAATTAATTTCAGATGGTACTTGGAAGAACTGGTTATAGCTGGAATTGAATTCAATTTATTACTCAGTTAACTGAGATAAATTACATAGCTTGAATCAAAAGCCCAGGGACAGCATGTTCTGCCAACTAGAAATAAAACACTTTTTTGTTGTTAATCCTCACCAGAGAATATTTTCTTCCATTGATTTTCAGAGAAAGAAACATGCATGTGAAAGAGACACATTGATTGGTTTCCTCTGGCACCCACCCTGGGGCAGGACTGAACCAGGTTTGTATCCTGGACTAGGAATCGAACCCAATACCCTTTGGTGCATGGGCTTATACTCTACCCACTGACCTACATTGTCCAGGGCAAAACTTAAGACTCTTAAAAATAGAAATTAGAACAAAACTTTCTTAGCCCTGGCCAGTTTGGCTCAGTGGATAGAGAGTTGGCCTGTGGACTGAAGGATCCCCGATTTGATTCTGGTCAAGGGCACATGCCTGGGTTGTGGGCTTGATCTTCAGTGGAGGGTATACAGGAGGCAGCCAATAGCTGACTCTTATCATTGATGTTTCTAACTCTCTCCTCCTTTCCTCTCTGAAATCAAATATATATATATAATTTGGACCAACTCTCCTAAACCTTTAAGATAATTTTTCACTGTGATTTTAGCCTAGTTGTCATTTTCCAGATGAGTTGAGATTGACAGATTTCCAGCCTTTCTAGACTTATTTTTTCCTAATTCTCTCATGCCTTCTCATGAAATTAAATATTGAGGAATAGTCGAGTTTGTGTGTGTGTGGTTTGTGTGTGTGTGTAAAGTTAAGATTTGGAGCATTGTGCCCTAACTGGTTTGGCTCAGTGGACAGAGTATTGGCCCATGGACTGAAAGATCCCAGGTTCGATTTGGGTCGAGGACATGTACCTTGGTTTCGGGCACGTCCCCAGTAGGAGGTGTGCGGGAGGCGACTGATCAATGTTTCTCTCTCATCGATGTTTCTGACTCACTGTCCCTCTCTCTTCCTCTCAAAATATATATATATATATATATATATATATATATATATATATATATATATATATATATATATTTAAAAAGATTTGAATCATTGCAAACAGATTTAACACAATAAGCTTAGATCTAAGATTATTTTTGTCCCTCTCCCATATTGGGAGCTCTTTTACCCCATCGAGAACAGCCTAAATACTTATAGGGACCTTACTTCTCTTAGGCAATATATATTCACTATGCCAATTTCAGGTTTGTAATATGCTTTTCTTGGACCCAACCTTAGAACACCAAAGGCATAGTGGTCAACACAATAAAGTTAGTGAAAGTGTCTTCAGCACTGTCACAGGTGCTGAACTAGTGAACTGATTTCCAGCAAATATGTACTTTATCAGCATTTTCTTTCTCTACTAGTTCACACAGATGCCCACCCACTATTTATCTAAGCATTCACTACTTGAGTGCCTATTATGTGTTAGGCACTGAGTATCAAGGAGTATGATAAAGGCTTTATACTCTCTGAGTTTATGATCTAGTTCAATTTGTTCTCCCTCTCTCTAACTCCTAAATACTGATACTAATTCCAACCATTATTGGTGCTATGGTCACCACAACATCGAGGCTGCAGGTTCCTTTGGAAACATCTGGTCTAGACATTTTCCTATCACTTGCAGATGATTTAAGCACAGAAGAATCCCACGAACTCATTGAAGAAGTATGCAATGGTGGAAAGAGTGGCTAGTGGCTTTAGAAACCAGGTGGCTGTGATGATCTGTATCCTGACATTCTGATTGTGAGGCTGTGGGGTTATTCAGCTCCCTTAGTCTTATTGTGGTCTTGCTTTACTCGTGTGTAAAAGAGGTAATAATCCTTTTGCAAGGTTGTGTAGCATAGTGGCTAGAAGTTAATATATATATATACATATATATATATATATATATATATATATTTTTTTTTACAGAATCTGGTTGATGTATCATTGAAAATAGCTATTATACTTTAAAACATATGTTCATGTGAGAATTAAAGAGAAAGGACCCCAGCAAAAACTGTTTCCTATGGTTATGTGTTAATGATTACAGTAACTGCAAAAAACACTTAAGTGGAGGAGATAGGAGTATTATTTTTAGTTTCCCAATCAATCATACAATGACTCGGTGACTTTCATTAGGGACCTTCTTCCTTTGAATCTTTTTCTTCATCGGTAGAATAAAAAGATCATGTCAAAGGTCTCCCGAGTTTTCAAGTATAAAGCAACTAATTATAAATACTACTTGTGGGCGATCTTTTAAATTTTATCCGAGCGTCCATTAGGCCAGCTTTTGAAAACTTGCATAATGTTTACTCACAACTGAAGTCAGATTTGTATGCCTGAAAAAGGTCATTTCCTGAAATCAAAGAGGGGGCTGACAGGTCCGAGTAAACTTTAACTTCATCCTTCCCTGGGAGGCCATCTAGCACGTGACTACTGGACCCCGCACCTGCTCGGGCCAGGAGGGCCTCTGACTCATTCCACACCATTTTCGCCATTTCTCTGGACACCCAGTCCTCGCACCCACAGGCTGGATCTGTTTGCTCAGCTAGAGAGCCATGGTCCTTCACTCCGCCCCCCTCCCCAGCGTCCCGCCTCACGTGACGCACTGCCGACGAGCACGAGCACCCGCCCCCTTCTGCTGACGTACTGCCATCTGCGGCTGCGGATTGGTAGTCCGTGGGGGGAGCGGGGCGGGCCGCTCCGCAGGAAGGGACGCAACCGGAAGCGCTTTTAACCTAGAAACTGTGGGCGCGGGTTTGGAAACTGGGCCTTGAGGTTGGGTGTTCTGAGCCGGTGCGAGCCTGGGTTCCAGTTCTCTGGGTCCACAGGGGATTCGCTCGTTATGCCGCTTTGTCCCCTGTAATGAGCGTGGCAGCCCCCCCCACCCTCCAGAGATCTCCTGAGCGCCCCTCAGGGAGGCCCGGGGACGGGCGTGGCGGAGGCGTGGAGCCGAGGAGAACGGGTGCGCTCGGCGAAGCTGGGGAGCTCCCTTCGCCCTCGGCGGGACGGCGCGCCTTTCCTGGGCGCCTGTGGGTGGTCCTTGTCCAGAGGCTGCTCACTGTCACTCGGGAAGAGAAAACCATCGAGTTCAGCACTCCTCTGAGCAATCGGGGAAATGTCTTTTTTCCCTAAAGTAGCCTTGAGGCCTGAGGTTGAAAACTGTCTTAAAGAGGGCTTAATGAATAAGGAGGTAGGTCAGAAAAACATGCTCACTGGGATCTGCCAACATTCCAGGGCGGTATTGACACCCCTTAGAGAAAAAAGGAGCCTAAGAGGAAACAATGTTTTCACAGCCTTTGTTTCTACCTACTTGTCCTTCCGAATGCGAGAGTGCCAGTATCTTTCCTCGGGGATTTAATTCATACTTTCCGAGGGAAGAGGTGAAGGATCCGTGGCTTTAAACCCTCGGGAACGGGAGGGAAAGTTGTGGGGAGGGCGGATCCGTTCCCGGCAGTGGCTCTGCAGAGGAGCGAGCAAAGCCCACCCGGGGAACGCGTCCTGGTTGGAGATGCACGCGCGGTCCTGGAGCTCTGGTTCTGGCGCTCAGGGGGAAGAGATGCTGGAACTCCCCAATGTCACTGGTTGTGTTAGGTGATTTGCAGACCTTTACATCGTTCTCCTTGCAATCTTTTTTTTTTTTTTTTTTTTTTTTTTTTTTAGAAATTTCCTCCTCTGAGGGTTCTCAGATCAGAGAACTGAGGGTCCAAAGAGTCCATGTAACTGATCCAAACTGACAGCTTTCAAATAACAGTCCTGAAATGCGAAGCGAAAGTTACAAATCCGAAGTACAGGTTTATAATCCCTCTAGGCAACTTCGTATTTTCCAAATCTTCGGTTCCAAATAAAGTCACTTCAGTGTTACTCGTTTTTGAAAATGTTACTGAAGCTATGACCTTTACGTATGATTTCTACACTTTAATTCCAAAGGTTATGTTAAGGGGCTGGACAGCGTGAAAAGAAAAAAATATCATCTCTTGATTTCAAAGGACTTAAACTATAAGAAACATTAAGAGAAATGGAGGCATTCAGCATTTTTTTTCTCAGCAATTTTTAAAATGGTCAACATTGGAGATGCAAATACCTTTTTTTTTTTTTTTTACACCACCTCTGCCTCAAACCCACTATGATTTTACAAAAACAGAATGTTTCTTTGTAAAAAAAAAAATAAAAAAAAAATCAAAGGTAAAGGAATATTTAATTGAAAAAAATACAAAAAACTAAACCTTGAGGAAGTACTAATACTTTTAGGCTGGCAAATTTGTAAGCTGGCAAATGGTTTATGAAAAATCTGTGAGGCAGGATAAAATCAAAGATGAGGAAATATGTGTCTTGAAAAGCTTCAGTTAGTTACAAGGGAACTTGGTTGTTTGAGTCCATAGTTTCATTTTTCACTTGTATCTTTGCTACCCAACTTCTTAATTTTTTAAAATGATATCTGTTTGTTACATTTACTAATACCACTTTAAAAACTGATGCCATGTGAGATCCTTGGATGACAGTATCACTGTTACTCAAAATCTGATGTTTTAATAGACTAATAGCCAATTTGCTCTAGGATATGAAGTTAGCAAGAGAATAGCTTTACAGAAGTGATGTAACAGTTAATGGATTGTAAGTAAGTAGAAATCCTGAATTTGTATGATGAACATAGCAGATATGAACATGTTCAAAATGTTAGTAATGCTTTGAAATTGAGGCAATATTTTTCTAAGCCTTTATGTCAGGCCTTTTCTTAGTGTTTTTTTTTTTTTTTTTTTTTTTAAATCACCATTAAACCTGAGAACCCTGTGAAGTAGTATTGGCATTCTTTTGAGTGTTATTAGCCTATAAATAATACAGCAGAATGAAATGGAACTGAATAATTGCTAAACATGTTCAAAAGTTAGAACAAATGTATATGCATATTATGCTTAATATTTTTAATTTGTATAGTGAAACTGAAACAAGAACTTGTTCTTTGCTTTTTCAGGTTGTATTGGCTTTCGGTAAACAAGAAGCAGAAAGGAAGTTTGAAACTCTGTTAAATCACCTGTCACACCCTCCATCATTCACAACTGTCCGAGTAAATACACATCTAGCCTCAGTGCAACATGTGAAAAGTCTTTTATTTGATGAACTTCACAAGGTTTGTGCAAATTTTTTATGTCATATGTGCATAATTACATTTCTATAATCTATGTCATGTTGCTCCTCACTAAAATGCTATGAATGATACAATACTGTTTTACAAATAAGGAAATTGAGGATCGTGAATGTTAAATTAGCTAAGGCTACAAAGTGAGTGGTGGTACACTGGCCAGGTCCAATCCTATAAATGCCAAGTTTTGAGTAGATGACTATGTTATAAGGAGAACTAGCTGTGATATCTGAGTGTAAGACTTGAAGAAAAAGTAATGCACGTTTTAATTGTTGATAGTGTTCATTTCATTGAGAGTAATAACATTAGACATAGTGTAAGCAGTTCCTCTAAGCAACTAAATTATACTTTTATATAAGCATACATATATGCTTTCAGCCAGTAGAAAGGAAACTATTCTGAGGCCCCCTCAGAGATTTCCATAACTGAGGCAGATCCACATTCTTTTCTTTTCTTGCAGATTATTCCTGGAGCTAGATATTCTAGCCTCCCATTCTGATGGGCATACAAGATATCCTGGGCTAGTATCCAGGATAAGGCAGACAGAATCACTCTGGGTGGCCTTTGAGTCCTTTCCTTAAAGGTTAAGACAGAGAAGTTTGGGTCCTAAGCATTAGGTAGGAAACTGGGAGTGGAGCAGAACTGATTGCCAGCAGGAAAGGGGACTTGGAGGAAGTTTTAGACTATAAATTTTCTTTTTCCTTTCATGTTTCAAAGCTCCCATGTGACCTAAAGAGATGTCTCGAATGGGCTAGGAGTAGGTGCTTTGTCCCTAAGTTTCTCTGGGCCACGTACTGAAATTTAATAATTTATGATTTAATTTAGTTGGTAAGGATGAGGAGAAACTGGAACTTTCAAACTTTGCTAGGAGGAAAGTCAAATGGCTTGGCCTTTTTGTAAAACAATTTGGTGGTCACTTAAAAAGTTATGTATAAATTTACGGTACAACCCAAGAGTGGAATGAAAACATGTGTTCATACAAATGCTTAAACATGACTATTCATAGCAGCAGCATTATTCATAAGATCTAAAAGATGAAAACTGTCCATATGCCTATTCACTGATAGAGAAACAAAATGTGGTATATTCATACAGTGGAGTGGAGTACTAGTCAGCAATGAAGGTAATGAACTCACACATGCTTCAACAGTGGTGAACCTCATAAGCACCACAATAAGTTAAAGAAGCCAGGCACAAATATTATTTATATTGTTTGATTTCATTTATGTGAAATGTCTAGAAAAGACAAACTTATAGAGAAAGAAAAGTAGATTAGTGATTTCCTGGGATTGGAGCTAGGAACATGGATTGACTACAAATAGGCATAAGGAATCTTTGTGTGGTATTAGAAATTATCTAAAACTAAATTATGATGGTTGCACAATTCTTTAAATTTACTAAAAATCATTGAATTGTACATTTAGAAGGGGTGAATTTTATGGAATATAAATTAAACCTCTATAAGGATGTTTTTAAAAGGGCATGGGGCCTGGCCAGTGTTGCTCAGTGGTTGAGCACCGACCCGTGAACCAAGAGGTCACAAGTTTGATTCCCAGTCAAGGCACATGTCCAGGTTGTGGGCTCAATCCCTAGTGAGAGCATGCAGGAGGCAGCCAATATGTTTCTCTCTCATCAATGTTTCTATCTTTTTTCCTTTCTCTCTAAAATCAATAAAAAACACATTTTTTTAAAAAGGGCATGGCAAAACAAAACAAAACAAAACAAAAAAACAAAAAGAAGCAGGTGACATAATTGGTTTAAAAATAAGTTTATGTGTGTTGTTTCATGAAAGTTAAGTACATGTGTATGGTTTTATGAAAGTTTTATTTTTGCATAATTTTAGTCTGACAAGGGAAGAATAATCTCAGCTTGAAAAGGATTGGTTTCTGTATAAAGTATTTCTCTAGTGTAAAACAGATAGTACTTCTAAAACAACAAAAGCAAATGACAAAATTTAGTATCTTGCTTCTTGGAAAGATCAGCTTACTGTCGTCTGTATATTATAAGACTATCAAACAATGAGAAAGAGAAGGAAATGGAGAGGTGACTGATAGAATGAGAAGGAGGTTATCCTTCAGATTTCTTAATACCTATCAGTTAGATATGGTTAGTCTGAAATACCCTTTGCCTGGAAGAAGTAGAAATCAGGAGAGCTGTTGACTTGGTAAAAAAATGTAGTTAGATTTCTAAAATATGATCAATTTCTTTCTATTATCAACTTACTAATAGTTGATTTTAGAAGTTCTTTTCTAGATAGTATATGGTTACTGTGGGGCAATTCAAATACATATTGTTACTGTTCTTTCATGTAGTGTGTGAAAATTAATGAGTTGATAATCTCTCCAGTCTGCATGGCAGAAACTTATTCTCAAATATTTGCATGTTGCCCTTAGATGGAGTATGTAGTCCTTGTTATTCAATCCACTATTCTGCTCTTTTTTTTTTTCTGCTGTCTTGAGTGCCCAGTCATCTTCTGGCTGCAACAGTGATGTGTTGCTACATATTTAACAGCCCCTTTCTAGGAAAAGTAACACTTTGTGGTGTTTTGCTAACTTAAGTTGTGTAAATATTCCCACTGTGTCTATTTCTTTCTTTTTTAAAATTTTTATTTATTTCAGAGAGGAAAGAAAAGGGAGAGAGAGATAGAAACATCTATGATGAGAGAGAATCATTGATTGGCTGCCTTCTGCATACCCCCTACTGGGAATTTAGACTGCAACCTGGGTATGTATGCTGACTGGAATTGAACCCAAGACCCTTCAGTCCGCAGGCTGATGCTCTACCCACTGAGCAAAACTGGCTAGGGGTGTGGTCAGTTTCAAGCTACCAGCATGACCATGAAGTTGGTAAGAGATACACACAATTGACTGTGATGAGATTGTTTGAATTGGCGTTAGCACCTGTACCAGTGGTCCTGAACCTATTTCCAGTTTTGACTGCCAAGTATGATAGAGGATACTGAAAATAATGAATTTGCCAAAAAACATTCATTTCCCTCATCAAAATTGACATGGTATAGTGCCTTCTTTTTAAAAGTAAATCACTAAGGTAAACATAGTTTGTATTTTTGAAGCCAAACAGTAAGCAAAATTGAGTCTTATAAGGAAGTCAGACAGCATAGGGAATATGGTCAGAAATCATATCTAATAAAGGGATAATATGCAAATTAACCATCATTCCGTCACAAATATGGAAGTGCCCATAGCCACAAGATGGCAGTGCCCAGTCCCCTCAGCCCCGCCAGAGTTTCCCAGTCTTGGGGGTGTGGCTGCTGAGAGCAGGCAGCATGAGTGGTCTGGTGGAATGCTTGCTTCATCGCTGTGGTGACAAGGCAAGTGTTCCACCTCAACCTCGGAGGGCTTCTGGGCAGCAGGTGCAGAGCGGCCAGGCCCTGCAGAGAGCAGAGAACTATGTGGAATGGGCCTAAACTATCAGGGCTTCCGGATTGGAGAGGGTTCCCCTGAGGGCTCCCAGATTGGAGAGGGTGCAGATGGGCTGAGTGACCACCCCCTGTGCACGAATTTTGTGCACCAGGCCTCTAGTGTTATAATAATTATCTATGGTGCCAGGTAGGTATTATACATTTTGGAGGACAGGGTGTCACTTTGTAAAGTATATAATTGTCTAACATAATGGCATACACATGAAACAAATACAGTATTGAATATTAACTGTAATTGGAAAAAAAGAAGTTGGGATACTCCAAAGTCAAATTACAGAGAGCACATAGTTGTTTTGAGGTCTAATTTTTATTGTGTCCCATGGAATAAAATTAAAGTATCCCTAACCATGTTTCATCCTCTGTTAGGTAATGATACTGAAAAGCTTCATAAATTGAAATTTATCAAACATATTGATTGCTTTATAATTTCTGTGTGTTTTCTTTTAACAGCAGTTTAATGGATTATCTGTTCCTATTCTTCAACATCCAGACCTTCAGGATGTCTTACTTATTCCTGTAATTGGACCTAGGTTTGTAATTATTTCATTTTCAAATTCTATTATACTAAGTAAAAATTACCACAGGTTTTTTATTTACTGTTTGGTGACAATACTGAGTTCTCCATTAATAGTAACTTTATATAGGTAGGAATTCACAAATTTGTAAATGCTGACTTCCATATTCTATTGTAGAAAAAATTACATACCAAAGGTTTGTAATATTTTAATGTGAAAAATTACAAGATTTTCATCTAAAGAGTGAAAATCTTGGGAATCGAGCCCACAATCAAGGCATGTGCCCTGATAGGGAACCAAACCGTGACTTTCTGGTTCATATGTTGAAGCTAAAGCACTGAGTCACTCTGACCGGACTCTGTTCTCTATATTGGCTCTCTGTACATTGGATTTCACGTGTAGTCACTCTTTGTGTTGGGGCATCCCAAGACAACCTTAGGGTTTGGTGATTGGTTATAAGTCACAGGATTCAGCATGTAGTCATGCTCATGGGGAAGATTTATTACACAAAAGGATACAAAAACAAAATCGGCAAAAGGAAAAAGGTGTATGGGGCAAAGTCTAGAGGAAGCCAGCCACAAGCTTCTGAGAGTCCTCTCCCCATGGAGTTATCAAGATGTCCTTAATTTCTCCAGCACCTGTGACATGTGTAGCATGGTTGTCTAGTAGGGAAGCACATTAGAGACTCAGTGCCCAAAGTTTTTATTGGTTGTTGGTCATGTAGGCACCCTCTGCCTAGCATGTACCAAAATTTTAGAATCCCAAAAAGCAGGTTGTTCACAATAAACTTCCTTGCTTGTATAAACAGCTTGGGAACAATATACCACTCTTACTATTAGGGAAAATTTTATATCAGCATCAGGAACTTTATCCCAGTAAAGTTTCCAGGTGCCATAAAAGGGCCAACCTTGTAAGGAGGCCTTTCTAAGAATAATCTCATGCCTGTTAACTCTTATTTCAGAGAAGGGACTGTTGTTTATTTCCTCAGCTCTGCAAGTTTACTTTTCTTTTTAAAACATAATCTTTTAATTTATTTCAGAGAGGAAGGGAGAGGGAGAGAGGTAGACACATCATTGATGGGAGAGAATCATCAGTCAGCTGCCTCCTGCAGACCCCATGCTGGGGATCAAGCCAGCAACCGGGGTATGTGCCCTGACCTGGAATTGAACCATGGCTTCCTAGTTCAGGGTTGGATGCTCAACCACTGAGCCACTTCAGCCAGGCGCTCTTTCTGTTTTTATCTTGTTCTTATAGCCCTTTTTTGAGTTTTTTTTTTTTTTTTCCTTTTTCTTTCAGCATCTTTGAAAATATAGAGAAGTATTTGAAAAATTTTCCTTTTTTGGTTGTACTTTTAAAAATATGCCTTTTACTTTATTTTTAAAAAAATATATTGATTTTATACAGAGAGGAAGAGAGAGAGAGATAGTTAGAACCATCCATGAGAGAATCATTGATCAGCTGCCTTTTGCACACCCCTTACTGGGGATGTGCCCGCAACCAAAGTACATGCCCTTGACTGGAATCGAACCCGGGACCTTTCAGTCCCCAAGCCGATGCTTGTTCCACTGAGTCAAACCAGTTTCGGCTCCTTTTACTTTTTTATTATTGCTTTGTTTTTGTTGTACTAGCTGTGCATGGACCCCAGGTTGACTGAATACTTTTTGCTTCTCTCATTGAATGGAAACATTTACATTCATGTAGACACACCTAGTTTGCAATTTGCCTAAGGGTGATAAAGAATGAGATGAAGTTTGTGCCTGGACAACTAATCAGATCTGTTTTTTAGAAATATTTTCACCAAGTCCTCACTAGTGACACATCTCTAACCCTGATAAGCTGAGCTGATGAAGTCTGAGGCTCTCTGGGAAGGCTTTTTGCTTTTTTCTTGTTTGTTTGTTTGTTTGTTTGTTTGTTTAAACAGCTTGTTTGTTTTTGGTTTAAATATTCTTTGTGCTTATTAGTAAACTTGGGTGTTGATTGCTGTTTTCCTTCTCATCCTTCACCTACAGTTAGGCAGTTTATCCACGTTTGTTAGAGAAAACATTGTCTGCCTCTGCCTATTCTGACAGTTTAGTTCCTCTCAGCTTTATCTGCTGTGAATGATGCCTAAAAAGGCATTCTCAGTCTTGTTTTTTCTACATGAGCCACTAGTCCTGGTTTTTAGTAATAAATATGTGATTAGGCCCCAGGAGCTTTTTCTTGTCAGAACATTCATATCCAGTTGAGGAACTAGATTTTATTCAGATTTCACTGTGTTAAGAAATTATTCATCGTCATTGGGATTTCTTAATTTTACTGCAAATGGAATTTTGTTCTCAGATTTTTTTTTGTTTCCTTTCCCCTGATCTGACCTGCATAGTTTCTTTGAGAAATCAGCTGACAAACGTATGGATGCTCCCTTGTAGGTAATTAACTGTTTTTCTCTTGCTGCTTTTAATATTCTTTCTTTGTCTTTTGCTTTTGGAATTTTAATTATGATGTGTCTTGGTGTGGTCCTCTTTGGATTCCTTTTTTTGGGGTTCTGTGTGCTTCTTGGTCTTGTAAGTTTGTTTCTTTTATCAGGTGGGGGAAGTTTTCAGTCATTATTTCTTCAAATAGATTTTTAGTATCTTGCTCTCTCCTTCTGGCACCCTCATAATTCGAATGTTGGTATGCTTGAAGTTGTCCCAGAGGCTTCTTACACTATCTTCAACTTTTTGGATTCTTTTACCTTTTTGCTTTTCTGGTTGAGTGTTTTTTACTTCTTTGTATTTCGAATCTTTGACTTGATTCTTGCATTCCTCTAGTCTGCTATTGGATCTCTGTATAAAATTTTTTTATTTCAGTAGGTGTATGTTTAATTTCTAGTTTGTTCTTTTTCATATCCTTGACAGTCTCATTAAATTTATCAGCCTTTTCTAGGAAATTCCTGGAAAACCTTATAACCGTGGTTTTGAACTCTAAATCCAGTCATTTGTTTTCCTCCATTTCTTTCGTTTGTGATTTGTTTCCTTGTCTCCTCATTTTGCACTGTTTCTCTGAGTTGGTAGAGTGGCTTTGTGTGCTATGTGTCCTATATGGTCCAATGGGTCAGCCTCCCAGTTACCTGAGGTGGACACTCTTGATGCACTCTTTGTGGACTGTGTGCACAGTCTTGTTGTAGTTAAGTCTTGATTATTGTTGATATTGCTGGGAGGAATTGACTTCCATGCTAATTGGCTGTGAGGACCCGCTGTGTCTATAATGGAAGAATTGCTGTGCTGGAGACATTCTTATGGGGCAGGACTTGTTTCATTGGGGCTTTGGTGATCACTTAGTCTGCCTCTTGAATGTGACTCTTATGAGAGTAGTTGAAATCTGGTGTTGTCTTACATAGACCAGTAGATACACTATCTTCTGGATCTCCAATGGGGTGCAGTCAGCTACTATCTGAGGCCATCCTCAGTAAGAGCTATAGTGAGAACAATAGTTTTCTCCTTGCTTGGGGTTTGGAGCTTTTGGAGCTGTCTGACCAGAGCTGCAGTTTATAATAATTAAGCTTTGACAGGGCAGGCAATTTATATGCAAAAACTGCTGCTTGGAGTTTTTGCTTATATGGGTGGGTTTGTAGATTTTGTGGGGCGGGGTCTCAGGGAGTCACTAGGCTAGGGTGTGGCAAAAAGTGATGGCTGACAGTCAGCTGTCTCTGAGTTCCCACATTTCCAAGTTCCTGTGTTCCATGCCCCAGTGCAGTAAATAATGTTTGCTGGGCGCACCTCTGCAAGAAAGTCATCCTCAGTTTCCAATCCGCTGGCCAACAGCCCAGCCTCTCCCTATAGGAGTTTGGGTACCCCCATATCTACCCAGAAACTGGATTTCAGAGTAATCAGGAGCTTGTCTCTCTTTGGGTTGAAAAAAAGCAACACATCTAGTCGCCTGCCACCAGCCTGGTGTGCGTGCCTCCATACCTCAGCTTTTTTAGCACTTGTGCACATCTCAATGCTCTTTTCTCTTTCCTTCTAGTCCTTAATTGTAGGACTTCCACTCAGCCAGCTTTCCTGTGGTTCTGGGTGATAGACATTTTGTCTTTTAGTTGTAGTTTTGAAATTGTGAGAGGCAGCAGTTTAGGTGTTTACCTATGCCGCCATCTTGGTTTCTCCAAGGTAAAAGGTTTAGGAAGAAGGGATTTAAGTTGATGCTGAAGTTTCTAGTTTATTTTCAAGGCAGATAATGACACTTTGTTCAAGATTGGAAACATGGGAGGATGAAAAGTTTCGGAGTGTTGCCAAGGATTTGAAGAGCGAATTAGACAAAAATAACATTGTTTAGGACTTACTGAGTTTAAGTAACTGTGGAATACCTAGATATAACTACTTGCATGTAATTAGAAATATCAGTTCAGGTCTAGAAAGGTTAAGCATTAGAATACATGGATTATTTTTATAAGTGATTATTAAAATCATGGGATTGCTAAGGGATAGAATGCAAAGTGAGAAGAGATGACTGCATGTTTTGAGCTTGTGTCATAAACCTCATTAAGATATAAAGACCTAACAATGAGAATGTGTGGTACCAGGAAGGGGTAATATAGAACTGAGAAGTTCAGTGAGATTTGATCATCTAGAGATGATGGAAAGAAGATGGGACACACTTAATTCACCCAGCAAGGAGTTTTGACAACACATCTGAAGTGTTGCCAACCAGGGACACTCATTAGAGACTCAGTGTTTGCTTATCTTGATACCTCCTGAACTTTGAAAAAAATCTTTCTGAGTTTTAGAAGTGATGCCTAGATTTTAGTGATCTAAAGAATAATTGGAGGTGAGAAATTAGAAAATATTTTTAAAAAATGGGCAATAAAGAAAGATTAGGTTTGCTGTAATGTTAAAGATTTAATTTTAAATCTTGTTTAAAATACTAATAATCTATTTTGCAACATTCTATCACTTTAGATATGTTTTAGAATCCTTGTATATTGTCTGTTTTAGTCTTTGAAGATGGACTTCCTCTTCTAATCTTGTTAGGAAAACTGCAATGCTTGTTAAATAATTAAGCAATTTTTGGTGGCACTTTATTGCCTTCTATCAGATGGATCTCTCTCTATTTTTTCATTTCTCAAATGCCCTTTTTTTTTTTCTTTAAACAACTCTTTTCTCAATATCCTATTTTCAGATTTCTCTTTCTCATTTACTCATTAATGGCATTATCTTGGGACAATCAGTACTAAAGAGGTTACTTAGGATTTAGGTTGAAACATTAAAAAGGTTGATACTTGTTGGAGATATATCACTGGGTTAAATTTCTCTTGTTTTATCTCCTAGGAAGGACATAGTAAAACAACAATGTGAAGCCATTGTTGGAGCCCAATGTGGTAATGCTGTATTAAGAGGAGCCCATGTCTATGTTCCAGGAATTGTGTCAGCTTCAAAATGTATGTATGAGGGTTTGTAAAAAAAAAACAACAACAAAGGAGCATATGTAAGAGACTTTATGTGGCTCACAAAGTCTGAAATTGATTTCTTACCTATGTAATTTGAACAGTCCTAGCTATAGCTGATGGGGTCCTCTCTACTGTTGTCAAGTTAATGGACTAGACAAATTTATAATAGGTTAGGTTCTTAAAACATTTTTTTGGAAGCAGAATACAATTGTTAATGTTACTGTTTTTTGTTGTTGTTGTTGTTTGTTTGTTTGTTTTAACTGAAAATAATTTAATGAAATGACTACAAAGCTAGATTTAATCAGCCATATAAATGAGTTCTGGACTCTCGAGTTTCAAAGAGTACATATACATATATAAATGAATATATGTGATTGTTGTTAAAATCTGCGTTAATTGCTATAACGGGAAAACTTGGAAGAAATACTATCAGGGTTATGGGATTTAGAAAGACTCCTTTGAGGAATTTGAGTGTATGCTTTTAAGAATACTTTTGAAGGAAACTTAGAAATTTGAGGATGGAGTCAAAATATCAAGATTTATGTGAAGTCTTTTAGGGAATATGAGGCTTGGGGAAAATAATTTAGATTAGAAGATTGCTTTACCCCCAGGCCCGGCTGGTGTGGCTCTATGGTTGAGCTTCGACCATGAACCAGGAGGTCACAGTTCCATTCCTGGTTAGGGTACATGTCCAAGTTGTGGGCTTGATCCCCAGGAGGAGGCATGCAAGAGTCAGCCAATCGATGATTCTTTCTCATTATTGATTTTTGTATCTCTCTCCCTCTCCCTTCCTCTGTCTCTTAAATAAATAAAAATATATTTAAAAAAATAAGAGGAAGATAACTTTCCTTTTCTGCTTAAAGACTTCCAGTTGAGTTAGGATATTCTGAAGACTATTTCATTTCTTTGTTTTCCTAGAAAAAAAATATTCAATTTAGATTTATTGTTATGGACATTTAAAAACAAAATGCCATTATTTTTTTATTATAGATTATATTGAGTTGATGAGCCATTTTAGACTGCTAACATGCCACTGTTGGTGTCCTTAGAGTTTTTCAGTCTAGCTTAAAGAATATTAACTTTTTCTGTTCAAGTATAAAATCATTATAATATGATTTTCTTCTTTCTATAGTTATGAAAGCTGGAGATGTTGTTTCTGTATACTCTGATATTAAAGGCAAATGTAAGAAAGGAGCCAAGGAATTTGATGGAGTAAAAGTATTTCTTGGAAATGGGATTTCTGAATTAAGCCGCAGAGGAATCTTCAATGGGCTACCTCAACAGAAGTATATTATTAAGTGTTGTTTTGGGGGAAATAAGCATTTTTGTTGTCCAAGGGAAATTAAAAACAATATAAAAATAGTAGCATTTTGTGAAAAATTTGGGGGGTTATAAATATAACCAGAAATTACTTGATCCATATTTCCATGTTTTTTAGGGGGGAAAAATGATCTAAGGTAACAGGAAATGGCTTAGATTAAAGAGTTTTAAGTAAGCAACTAGCCATGCTGTACTTCAAATAATTTTACTTTTTCTTTTGAATTTTGTTGATTTGAAATATTTTCATCTTTGGAGAACAATACTTTTCTTGATAAAAGATGAATTATATTAACCTCCCCAGATCTTTTTAAACATTCTGATTTTGTGAAAGGAAAAACCCTATCAGTTTAATATAACTTAAAAAGAAAAAAAAATATTGTTTTTAAGTCCTCAACCCTAGGACATGCTAAGAAAGAAGAAAAGAGAAAGAGAGAGAAACATTGACGTGAAAGAGAAACATCAAACTAAGAAACTGGGTTGTCCACAAATTTAATTTATTTAGAGCCAGTACAACCAGAGATGACTTAAAACTACTTATATTTTAATTTGGTTTGAGTAAATCCAAACATTAATTTTTGATCATAAGTATTAATGTAAGTGCTCACTTTCTGGTAAAAAAATTTTTTGACTAAATTTTTCTTTTTGTCCATCTGGAGTGGCTCAGTTGGTTGAGCATTGTCCTGTGCACCAAAAGGTTGCTGGTTGATTCCCAGTCAGGGCACATATGGGAGGCATTGTAACTTAAACAGACTAATATTAGATTTCCTACTTTTCAGAGGTATAGGCATAAGAATGACAGAACCAGTGTATCTCAGCCCTTCATTTGACAATGTACTGCCCAGCTACTTATTTTTACAGGTAAGTAATTGTGAAAGTGTAATATTTAGTGACATTGAAACATACTACAGCAAATTATTAGAAATCTAAGGTATTTTTTATAACTTTATTAATACATTTTTGTGGTCTGTTTATATATTTTCTGATCTACCTTTGGTTAGCAATAAGAAAAAACTTCGTAAGCATTATTTTTTCTTTTTACCTTTTTGCTCAAGAATGCTTTAATATAAAGCTTATCATAACTGTTACTTTCCATTTCAACATGTTAATCTGAAAATAATAAATGCATTTGCTATATATAAATGTTCATTTGTAACTGAGTAATATTCAAATGGTTTACTGCTAACAGGTTTTTGTCAGGTGGTTATTAATTGTGGTGCTATAACAAGCATAGACAAATCTCAGGTCTCAAATGTCTCCCATTACGAATAATTCAGTTCTCAACCAAGTTGTTCATGGAAAATATGTCTCAGTTGTTGAACAATCCTTCCTGCCCATACATCAGCATGACATGAAGTGTCTCTCAGGCTACAAAATGAAGGAAAATGCCAGTCAGTTTACCCCTAGACCTCACATGTTGTTAACATCTCAGGAAATTGTGCTGTGAAATGTTTTTTTCTTTTGTTGTCTATGAAATGGATGATTAGCACAATTTTAAAACATAAAGAGGCCATCAAGACTGCTAGTGTTGCTAAGGGTGTGAAAAAAACAATGATCACAGGCAATTGAAGAGGTGGAAAAATGGTTGTTGATTTGGATAAATGAAAAGCAATCAGCCAGTGACAGAATTTTGGAAAATTGAAGATGCTGCATACTGACCTTCTGAAAGACACCCCTGGAACATGGCTGAAAGTGATTTCTTTAAGGCTGTTAGGGGGTGGTTCCATAGATTTAAGAAAAGAAGTGTTTGCTTATAGATTAAACAGTACATTAGACATTTTCTGTATATAAGAAAGGTTGAAACAGGGAATCATTTTGGGGTCTGGAATGAATGAATTCAATTTACATTATTTCTAATGGAAAAAGTGATTTGGTTTTCAAACAAATAGCTTTTTGAGCCAATTAAGTTTGAGAACCAAGGTTCCACTGTAACCTATTTTGCCTTGTTCAGTTAATTAAGTGTTTACATTAACTGATTTGTTGCAATCTGGTTAGGTGGTATTATTATAATTATTATTATTATTACTATTGTTATTATTATTCCCAATATAAGAGGATATCAAAGATCAGATCTGTTAGGGTTCTTGAAAGGTGTTACACGGGTTAATGGAGCCTGCAGGTGTGATGCTTGCTTTGCTTGTCAGCTGGTGGGAGAGAGGCTCAACAATGGAACTATGGCACCTGCCGGCACTTTATCCTGCCAGCTATGTCAGACAGGGCTCAGAAAAGGAACAGTGGTGCCTGTCCTCCAGCCCTCGCCATGCAGCCAGGCAATTCCGTTTCTCCCCATATATCCTGCTGGCCCTGCACTGGAACTCAGCACGTGAGTTTGAGAGTGAGTTAGTCCTATAAGCTCTTCATTGGCTGGGTCTCCAGCAGCCCTCCATCCCACTCAGCTCCAGTCCTCACTGCTTTTCACATCTGGAAGTTATAGGATCTTGGCTTCCTGGCACAGGAGCCCACATATCCCTCCTGATTTTTATCCGCTACACATGAGTGTGAGATCAGCCCGTTTTTGTCCCCAACCCTCCTTCCGTCTCCTCTTTATATCCTTAGTTATGGAGATTCTCAGGCAATTTTCAATGATGGTTGTTTTGTAATTTAGTTGTAATTTTTATTCTGTTGGAGGAAGAGGTGAACACAGCACAGCATTTATCTACACTATCTTGACCTAGAGTCTCCAGAAGTTTTAAATTAGATGTAGTCTCACTTATTTTTTATTTCATTGCTTTTTTAATTTCATTGTGTATCAGATTTAAAAAAAATCATTGCCAAGCCGTATGCAGGGAGCTTACTGCCCTTGTTTTCTTCTAGCAGTTTTATGGTTTAAGTTCTTGCATCAAGTCTTTAATCCATTTTAAGTTGCTTTTTGTTTATAGTGTAAGATAATGGTCTTATTTAATAGCCAGAGTTTTGAAAATGATAACATGTATGTAGTTTAGTTTTTGCATTGGCACTGTTTGCAATTGTTTTAATTTAGAGCTTTCTTCTTCTTTTTTTTAAAATATATTTTTATTGATTTTTTTATAGAGAGGAAGGTAGAGGGATAGAGAGTTAGAAACATCGATGAGAGAAAGACATCGATCAGCTGCCTCCTGCACACCCCTACTGGGGATGTGCCCACAACCAAGGTACATGCCCTTGACCAGAATTGAACCTGGGACCTTTCAGTCCACAGGCCGATGCTCTATCTACTGAGCCAAACCGGTTTCGGCTAGAGCTTTATTCTTAATGTTTAAATTTTACTTTTATTATATTAGCTTAAAAAACAAAAAAAGGTGAGTTGAAGAGGGCCACCTGGGAAGGCACATGGGCATTTCTTTTAATTGTTGCCAGCTGAGACAGAGACGATTGGCAGAGCCGCGTCTAAGATACACATTTCCCCAAGATGTCGGAAAGTGTAATCAGCTTGGCCTTCATATCAGCCCAGGTTTGGCAGGGGTGAGACTAGATATGTAGATCCAGGCATGCTAGGGCCTACTTAAGAATGCAAATAAGTTGTTGTTACTTCCTGGTATTGGGGGTATAGAATAAATGCGCAGGGAGGGTCCGTCCTCTTCTTCCTGCCTCTTCAGTAGACAGGATGGCGGCCCACCTAGCTCCCAGCTTAAAATCTAAAAGAAAGATAGTGGTCTAGTTTCATTCTTCTCTATGTAGCTGTTTAGTTGTCTCAAAACCATTAATTGAAAACTGTCCTTTCACTATTGTGTTTGTGTATTCTTATCTCTTTTGTCATAAATTAATTGAACATATATGTGTAAATGATTTTCTGGGCTCTCTCTCCTGTTTCATTAATCTGTGTTTGTTTTTAACCACTGAAACTTTGTACTAGAGTTTGAAATCTGAGTGCACGATGCTTCCAACTTTGTTCTTCTTTCTAAAGACTGCTCTGACTATTCGGGATCTTTTGTTATCTCATATGAATTTTATGGTCTGTTTCTGAATATATTTAAAAAAAAAATCACTCAGTGATACTCTTGTGTAGCCAGGATTGAGAAGAACGGTAGTAGACTAAGTTGTTTTAAGAAACTGTCATCATTTAAATACGTAGTGAAGCATCTTTACTTGACTATTTTATAATGTTTAATTATTGTTTGACCAAAAAGTTTTTAATGTGTTACTTAAATGTCAGTGAAAATTTCTGTCATCTTTGATCCACATATTAATCTTATCTTTATTAAGAGTTAAGCATAACCATTTTTCTCTAGCTGAAGAATCTCCATTAACCACTTATGTGTCTTTTCATATTAGAGTTCAATTTTTAAATATTTTTGGAATAGATTTGACTCTAAGAGAAACTATCTGTAACAGGTGAAGCTGTTTTTTGGTGTTTAGTGTGGAGGGACTGCCTTTCAGGCATGTCAGTTTATATTGATTTTAGTGCTTCCTGTATCCTCGTGGAGGGGTTCTGTGTGGAAATTTTTTTTTTTTTTTTTTGAATTGGTGATCTTGGATTCACAGTTCTTGAGGACATACTATTGGATTTAATGTTTTGGTGTGAGAATGAATTGAAAACTTTAAACAGCACTATGCTTGTTAGTCTCTATTTTTTTTTTTGCCAAATATTTTTAAAAATTTAATTATTTGTGATATTATTCTATCTGATTTAAATCTGTCATCCTTTAGCAACAATTCACATATAATTAATACTAATAATGATTTAATATGACTTATTACTATAGGTAGAGGTATATTTGGGTTGTATTATCTCAGAATATATATATATATATATATATATATATATATATATATATATTTGTGTTTATCAGACATAGCTAAAATTTTTCTTACATTTTACTTTTCTCCTACTGAAAGATAGTAGTGGTGGGAAGATAGGAACCCAAACATGTCTTTCAGTGGCATTAGCTGTATAAAACTGTGATTTTAAAATGGGATTTAGATGATGAAGCATCTGAAGTTGCAAATTATAAATTTTCTGGGGAAAAGATCCAGAGCTTTCTCATATTTCTAAGGGATCTCTCTGTCTTTGGCCTCCAAAATTTGAGAATCCCTGAATTAAGAAAGGACAATATGCTTTTTTGCTGAATTGATTAGAGAAATGCATTATGTGTGTGTGTATGTGTGTGTCTGTATGTGAATATACTATGAAATCATAGGATGTTCTGGGAAACGAAGAATTTCCTGACACCATTATCTTCTATATATGTAAAAGGCTAAGTGTCCATCTGTTTTACTGGTAGCTATGACACACAATGACCACCAGTATGGACATTCTATGCAGGAGTTGCCATGATGCGCACTAACCATTTAAAAATAAATGGCACCATGGACCTTTCACCAACAAACCAACATTTGACTTCCCCCAAGTGGGACACAGGCCCCACCACCACCCCTCCCCCAAGTGGGACACAGGCCCTGCCACCACTCCAGAGCGACATTCCACCGGAATTACAGCCAGTGCTGCCAAGACCCCAAAATGCAGCTCACAGCTCAGCCCAGCCCAAGAAATGGTAGCTGTGGGTACCAAGTAATGATGTGGGTACCAAGTAAAGAGTCAATTCTAGCATGAATTACAAGAGTCTTATCAAAAGGTTGATGAAACTTGGGGGCTCAACAAGGGCTGAGTCACATATGTAATTACCTGCTAGAAGGCATTTCCTTCTAACTTGAATAGGATTATTGTTTGCTGCCAGACAGTTCAGGGCATCTCAGGCTACATGTTATTGCCTCTTGTTGGCCAAACACCTGAACAGCTGTAGGCTATTCCCCAATCTGAATATTGTACCTACCCTTTGTATCCTACTCTTTGCTTCTGTACCCTACCCTTTGAAGTGTATTATCTCCACCTTGCCTTAGGACAATTTGTGTTAATAAAAAGCACAGGGTCCTGAGCCAAAGAAGTATTTAGCTCCTTTAGCTGAAGCTCCTTTGACCCCCAATGCCTCTCAAAATTATCTTTTGTCTTTGGACTCCTACTCAATCTATGTACAGCCTTTTTCCAGATTGTTGAACCTTGCTAATGCTAGGACAAGAACTCTGGCATAATGATGTCACATAGCAACACCCAGCTTCCTCTCCCTAGCAGCTAGCTTCCTAAGAGTTTCTTTAGCCTAGGAACTTGCTTTATAGCCAGGTGCAAACATTTTACACTTTAGCCAAATGTTTGTGAAACATTTTCCCATGCCTTATCTCATTTGATCCTAACATAAGTCCTAGAGTAAGTAGATAGGAGACTTGGTAGAGTCCTATTTTCTTTTCATTAGCAAGATGTGAATAGTGATATTAAAATAGTTCTTCTAATTAATTTTCTTTCAGTGCACAAATCCATGCATCGGGACACTAGTAGTTATAAAAAATGTACTTTTGGTAGAGGATGTTGTATTGCATTACCTCCAAAGATTTCTTTACATTCTCTGCATAGACTACAATACCAGGAATTTAAATTGATTCTGAAATTTAAATTGATTTAATATACTGATAATTGATTTTTATTTCCTTATAGAATTTGCCATCTACTGTTGTAACTCACGTTCTGGATCCTCAGCCTGGAGAGAAGATTCTAGATTTGTGTGCAGCACCTGGAGGAAAAACAACACACATTGCAGCATTAATGCATGATCAGGTAAGATTGTCTTCACAGCAAAACTACTGTTAGTATATTTATATTTCAATGATGAAGGTGGAATTACATGCAACTTATGAAACATTATGAAGACATTCATAATCTGACTTATTTCAAATTCAGCCAAAGGAAGACTGTTCAGTACACCTGATCCAGAGCTGGTTAGCTAGAGGATCTGATGATCTTTTGTAGGCTCATTCACTTTTTGATTTGTGTTGGCTTATGTAAAGTGGCTCCACTTGAGCTGTTAGGGTGCCCTGCCTCTGGTCCATGTGTTTTTTGTCCTCCTGCTAGGAACAGATGGCTAGCCTAGCATAGGGCAATCATTAAGGGGTTGGCTGTGGCTGAGGGCAAAGTAGAGTAAGGCCAACTGTTCAAGTGTTATTTATTTCTCTCTTTGCATTACATTTACTATTCTATTGGCCAACATCACATCGCTGAGCCCAAGTCAGAATGGCAGAGTATTACAAGGTAAATGGCAAAAATGAGCATGTTGAGGAATTAAACTGAAGTTAGTCAATCTTTCTGAGTGGAACAGCAATGGAGAAATGACCAACCTGAATAGAGATATTTAGCCAGAATGAATCTTAGATTTTGTTGCTGCTTTTGATTCATTTTGATAGTTAAAATTTGTGTAAGTTTACCCTTTTTTTCTGTATTTTTGTAAAAGTAGCCTTCAGCCAGTGGAGTTATTACTTCATTGCAGTATATTTGAACCTCATTTTGTGTTGTTTTTGACTACTTTTTCAGTTCAACTCACTTGAAATGGTTTTGTTTGTCAAAATATTAATTGGAATTATATCTGCCAATAAGCCTGGTGTTACATTTAGGATAAGGTGACCAGATGTCCTGCTTTTGGTGGGACATTCCTGATTTTTAACAATTTGTCCCGCGGCATTTTAAAAAAGTCCCGATTTTTGCAAAGATTATTTTAAATTTTTTGGACTTTTCTTAAAACGCTGAGGGACGCAGGACAAATTGTTAAAAATCGGGACGTCTGGTCACCTTAATTTAGGAATATTTTCAGCAAATTCCTGGTATTGTAGTCTATGCAAATGATGCATATATCATGCAAAGACAGTGTGTATAAAGGGAACAAAAGCAAGAAAATATTTGAAAGTTTAATTTCACATCACTACAATATCATTTCATAGTATCATGTTTTAAAGTATCATATGAATATCACAATATACTCATAAAAATGACCCCCTTGTCTTTATCAATTTTGAACTGAAATATTATGGTTAAAAATATTTTTTAAATTTTATATGTTTTTATTGATTCCAGAAAGGAAGGGAGAGTGAGAGAGAGAGAGAGAGAAACATCAATGATGTGAGAGAATCATTGATCGGCTGCCTCCTGCAAACTCCCTTCTGGGGATGAGCCTGTAATCCAAATCCAAGCATAGGCTCTTGACAGAAATCAAACCTGGGACTCTTCAGTCCACATGCTGATGCTATATCCACTGAGCCATAACAGATAGAGCTATAATTACTTTTGAGCTATGTTTTATACAAGTCTAGACTATTTTGCTGTGATATACAGTCATATTTTTCTGTCTTTAGTTGTCAAAATTTACATGAATTTTATGTGTATAGCATAGAAAATATTGAGACGAGGATTGATTTTGTAAAAGGAAATACTTAATACGTATTTAATATAAATTCAATATATGTTTGGTTAATGAATTAAACTTTAAATTAAGGGTAGGAGAAAATTATGGAAGATCTTAGTTTTTCATGGCTTTCTCATTTTTAATAATTTTTATGATTGCTTTTGGTTTACACTTTATGGGTGTTTGTTTGTTTGTTTGTTTTTAGGGAGAAGTAATAGCCTTGGATAAACTACCCAACAAAGTTAAAAAAATAAAGCAGAATGCTTTATTATTAGGGCTGCATTCCATTAGGGCTTTTTGCTTTGATGGAACAAAGGCACTTAAACTCGATACGGTTAAGGACACAGAAGGTGAGTCAAATTTTTTCTTTTAAAGACTTTTACAGACAATCAGACTTTGCTGTCATTGTTCTAGCCTCAGAATATCCACAGGCCTTGAAACTTTGGCATGAATCTAAGATTTCTTGCTTTAATAAATATTTCCTTTTCATCTCATCCCTCAATATCAAGTTTTTAATAAGTCCAACCCCCAAGACTTGGTCAAACACTTTCTTCTTCTTCTTTTTTCCCCATCACCATTTATTCTCTCTATACCCTCTTTCACCTCCACCCACACCTCTATCCCCTTGTTCAAACTTTTTATATTTGACATATTTGTCTTAATTTCATAATGCATCTCACAGAGCTCCCAAGCCTTTCAATTTTATGATTCTTGAGCTATTTTGTATTATTTCATTTTTCTTGGGAATGGGGCTATGGAGCTGGGAATGGAGGGAAAACTGTTACATTTATTTATTTTTTTATTTATTTTATTTTTCCTACTTTTTCTTTTCTATTTTTTTAAAATACATTTTTATTGTTCATAGTATTACAAATGTTCCTTCCCCCCCCCCCATTGCTCTCCTCCACCAGGTTCCCACCCCACCCTCTGCCCTTTCCCCACTCCCCATTGTCCTCATCCATAGGTGCACAGTTTATGTTCAGTCTCTTCCCACATCTCCTTCTCCCCTTTTCCCCAAGAATCGTCAGTTCACTCCCCTTCCATACCTCTGATTCTATTATATTCAACAGTTAATATTGTTCATCAGATTTTTTTTTTAATTTCCTTGGTTTTTAGATTCACTTGTTGATAGTTACATATTTGTTGTTCATAATTTTTATCTTTATTTACTTTCTCTTCTGAAAGAACCCCCTTCAGCAATTCATATAATTCTGGTTTGGTGTTGATGAACTCCTTTAGCTTTTTTTTTTTATTAGTGAAGTTCTTTATCTGACCTTCAATTCTGAGTGATAGCTTTGCTGGATAGATTATCTTTGGCTGTAGGTTCTTACTATTCATCACCTTGACTATTTCTTGCCATTCCCGTCTGGCCTGCATGGTTTCTGTTGAGAAATCAGCTGACAATCATATAGGTGCTCCTTTATAGGTAACTACCTTCTTTGCTCTTGCTGCTTTTAATATTCTCTTTGTCTTTTGCTCTTGGAATTTTAATTATGATTTGCCTTGGTGTGGTCCTCTTTGGATTCCTTTTGTTTGGAGTTCTGTGCGCTTCCTGGACTTGTAAGTCTAATTCTTTCACCAGGTGGGGGAAGTTTTCTGTCACTATTTCTTTCAGTATGTTTTCGATATCTTGCTCTCTCTCATCTTCTGGGACCCCCATAATTCTGATGTTGGTTCACTTGAAGTTGTCCCAGAGGTTTCTTACATTATCTTCAATTTTCTGGATTCTCTTGCCTTCTAGCTTCTGTGGAGGAATGTCTTCTGGCTCTTTATGTTTCAACTCTTTGACTTGATTCTTGCGATCTTCCATTCTGTTTTTAGGACTCTGTATAATATTATTTATTTCAGTCAATGTATTCTTTATTTCTTGTTGATCCCTTATCATTTCTTGTTGATTCCTTATTAATTCTAGTTGATCCCTTTTCATATCCTCATAGGTCTTATCCATCTTTTCTAGGAAATTCTTGAAAAACCTTATAAGCATAGATTTGAACTCTATATCCAGTCGCTTTTTGTCCTCCATTTCTTTCGTTTGTGATCTGTTTTGTTTCGGCATTTTTCACAGCTTTTCTGAGTTGGTAGCCTTAAAAGTCTCTGTGTTCTGCTTGGATGGGGCGGGGTTTCAGGGTGGAGCCTACAGCTTTGGCTTCCGTCAGCCCCAACCTATGTGGGTCCTTCAGTTCTCCTTGCAAAGGCTTCTGAGAGAAAGGCGCCCTGGATTTTCGCCTGCTGCCAAACAGTCTATACTCTCCCCCAATGAGCCCAGTATTGGGGTTCAGTTCAGTTGGAAGTGGAGTTGGAGGTGGCGTTCAGAGCAGTCTGGAGCCCTTGTCTCCTTCCTGCCAGGGCAGTCCCACGGCACAGCCAACCATCCCTTCTCTGTGCACAATGTACACGGCGCCGGGACCTCCTTTCGCCGCTTCCCCAGGGTTCTGCCTTACAGCCCAGCTCCCTATGGATGAGCCTGGGTCCCCAGGGTCTGGCCTAGAACTGGGGTTCAGAGCAGTTGGAACTGGGGCCCAGTTGGAGCTTTTATCTCCTTCCTGCTAGGGAACGCCAGCCAGGCACTCAGCTGCCCTCCTCTCCGGCTCCTTCCTCTCCACGCGCGCCGCGTGTCTCCGTACCTTAAGCTTTTACAGCTCCTCCGCGCTTTCTTCTGGTTTTCTCCTTGCTTCTCGTTGTAGAATTTCCAGTCAGTCGACTTTCCTGTAGTTCTGGGTAATGTTCATTTTATATTTTAGTTGTATTTTATTGAAATTGTTGTGTGCAGCTGCGGCTAGGTCTTGGAACGACCCTCTGTTACATTTATTAAATCACTTTGTCTCTATGTATGTATATCTCTTATTTAGATTTGATTTAATGAAATACTCGAGAAAACTGTGTACTTTAACAAACTCACTGGCATTAGTTTTTCCTGAGTATTTATTGATTAAAGATAAGTTTTAAAAAGCTAAGAATATGGTCTCTGATTTGCCAACCCCCTTACAGATCATATAGATCAGCAATTGCCAAACTGTGATCCGTTGTGGTCCATGAGGTCTGAAAGGTTGTCAACAGCTGATCTGGATTGCCTTTGTTAGCTAACAACTCACATAAATTTGAAGATCTAATTGGCTTCACTAAGCTGATCATTGGTTAACATACCATCTAGCAACTGAAAGCTTGCTCCCTGGGTTGTACCAAGGGGGAGGTTTTTATAGGAAGAAGAGTGGGGCCAGGACACCATTTCTTTCTCTTTCTGGTAGCCGAAGGGGAGGGTTTTTAATCTTGTAAATTGCTTTCTCTTTCTATGGGGAACATAGAAGGCTCACAGTGACAGATTACCTTATTGGTGCTTGGCCAGAAAATTCCAGACTGGTTGATTAAAGATGTTTCTGGGAGAAGTTGTACTTGCAGTTAAATCTAGTTTTAGTATCAAGGGCTTTTAGCACTGAGTGTTGTCATTTTGATACTGTGGTTTCTCTTTAATTCCTTAAGGAAAAATACTTTTTCTAACTCTGTAGTTTTGTTGTAGGCTGCAGAATGGCAACAGGTGTCTGACCGATGGGGTTAGACCTGGTTCAGCAATCTCGGTACTTGGATTCTGACTAGAAAAAATTCAGAGCCAAGACTCCAACCATAAGAGTACATCTGTTTGGTAAATCACAAAGGTAAAAGAAGTAATTCATTAAAGAAATCGGTTTAGGAAACAAGTTTATAGTGTTGTATCATAAATTAGCAAATGAGATACAAGACACCTTAATGAGTCAATTAATTAGGAGTCACTTAAATTGCTCACAGCCCAGAGGGAGGTGTCTCTTCCAAAACTCTGACCACCACATATAGGAAGTCTCCCTTAGTTATACTTTTTGAGCTTCTTTGCAGATTTTACAAAGAGCTCTATGTGAGTTATTGTTACAAACAGCTGTAACCTTGAATACATAATGAGTATGTACCTGGGATAAGAATATGGAAGTTGTTTTCAGTATTAGTCTATTTTAGTCTATTACATTGGATGGCTAGTTTACAAGATCAGACAGTTAAGTTTATCTTTTTCTATTACTTGAACTAAAAACAAAGTCATTTTACAGAATAGTAGACTGTCTTAAAGTGACAGTTTATAATGACAGAGTTTACAGGACTAGTGACTATCTAACAATAGAGAATTCAAACAGCAGTTTTATACAAGATGGGGGTTACTATGCTTCAGTAGAAATAAAGGAAGGGCCTGGGCTGGCCAGGGTGTGCGAAAAGCTTGGCTTCCTCCATTGCTGGGGAAACCCAAGCCTCCCTCCTGCTCTCTGTGGCTGCAGCCATCTTGGTTGGGTTTATTTGCATATTCACTCCTGATGAAAAAATATATATAAATTTCATAGAGAAAGGGAGAGAGAGAGAGATAGAAGAATCAGAAAAATCAGTGGTGAGAGAAAATCATTGATTGGCTGCTTCCTGCATGCCCCTTCCTGGGAATCGAGCCCTTAATCCAAGCATGTGCCCTTGACCAGAATTTAATCTGGGACCCTTCAATCTGTAGGCCAACTCTGTTCACTGAGCCAAACTGGATAGAGCCTTAATTGCACACACACACACACACTAATATAACATTTTATTTACCTAAATGGCTTTTAGTTTGTGTTATGAACTCACATAGTTATAATAATAGTTATAATATTCCTTTATATAATTTTATGTCTATAATATTTCTATAAGAAACAGAAGAAAGAGATATATATTGTAATTTTAGATTTTATGTTACTTTTATTACTAGTTTTCTTCACTTGGTCCTGTGGATTTGAATTTCATATGGTATCATTTTATTCCTCCAATACAGCTTTGTTTCCACTCACCATTTTTGCTGTTATTGGAAAATATATTACATTTGCCATATATAAATATATGGCGCGCGCACACACACACACACACACACACACGCACTATATGGATATATGATACATGTGTATATATGTATATACATATATAGCCTTTATTTTATATATATAGGGCCATCATTGGAATTATATGCATATTTCTTCAGTTGATTTTTAAGTCAAGAGAATATACATTTATACTGTTTTTTATAATTACACAATTACCTTTATGTCTGTTCTTTGTATTTTCATATGGACTCAAATTTTACTCTAGTTCAATTCCTTTCAGCTTGAAAAATTTATAAAAGTATTTCTTATAATGCAAATTTCTAGCAACAATTCTATTGGTTTTTGTTTATCTGGGTATCTCTATTGCACCTTTATTTTTAGAAGATAATCTCTCTGTACTTTGAGTACATTATCCCACTGCCTTTTGGCTTTCATTTTTCTGATGAGAAAACATATTTTAATCTTATTGTGGTTCCCTAGTATATGAGAGTCAT